TTAAGAATTATATCAGTTTAGAGTTTCTATAACCTGCAATTAAAAATAAACTCACCATTATCGTCTTCTATGATGTTCAATATGATTAATAGCAACTCTCAAGTCATAGTTTTGAAGAAAATCGTCATATTTCTAAATACTGCGATCGACAATGCCGATTTCATTCTGTTTTCTATCATTGTGTACCTCCGTTTCTCCCTCTTTAGAAGATATCACGACTATACCTCTACCAACTAGAAGAAAATGAGATTTTGTAGGTACCATAAAAAGAAGTTATCATATTTGAAATTACAGATCATAATAACTGTCAGGAGCTCTGCGTCGCTGGCACCCGTCTCCGGGGCCACCCCCTAGCTACGACGCTGATCAACGTAACATTTACACATAAATATTCAGTGAGAATGTATAGGTTGGAATAAATTTGATATCTTTCTAATCACATTTTAACCAAACTACAATCGGATGTACTAATGACGTCACCACTTTCGTGAACATAATGCCAGAAAAATATCGAATTTATTTCAACCTATATTTCCTCTCACTATATAATAAAAATTTAACAACAATATAAATTTACAATAAATCTAGCATCAAATTTCTTTTTACAATCTGAATCATTTTGTAATTCCTATATTACAAAATCATAGACATCGCAAAATTAAACAATTAACCATATAAAACACTAGCAATTCTTTTGAATATTCAAGATTATCTGTAAATGCACTCACATCATTTAACCCTAGATTGTCAGTGTACCCCCATTTGACTTGTATATTTCCATATCTCCCTACTCTCCGTTTCTATCACATCGACGTTTTAGATATGCTTTCTTTAGTCTGTCGACTGAATAGCGTAAAAAGTGTGTCGACGTTTTTGTTATTTTTATAGTACCTAAATAAGTCTATATCTGGAAAAAATAAGCAGTCAAAAAACGAGCATTCCAAAGTGGGAAGAAATTCACAATAATCTATGACCAACACTATCCAAGAAGGAACTTGAAAGTATTTTCATGAGTTCTTATAGCAAAAAAGAAAAGAAAATAAAATGTGTGATTTGCATGAAACCTTTAAGTATGTGGCAAGCATCACAATAACACATGTAAAATATTATTTATTCATACAACGATATTACGATTTTTAAATGTTTTGTAACTGTTACATTATTAATCTTAGTTCAAAATGTTTTTTTGATCTGAAAACTCTCAAAAAGTGACTTAGGTTGTTTCTAAAATTCACTCCGTGCCTGACAGCAGCGCCAATTAATTTTTTGTACTAATGGACTATTTTTGCCTACACTGACAATACAATTTTTAATGGAATTCGTAATTAATATGGATTAGTAAAACAAGTAAAACATTAATTTATTATTATTATTATTATTATTATTATTATATATTTTTATCGCTTAAACTAAAAAAAAATTAAGTATATTTAATAAAAATCAATAATAAAATAAAGGCGGGCAACATTATTTACGGGAAAATGTATGAGAAGTTGCCTAAGTCTAATAAGTTGTCTTTGAAGAATTAACCTATTCTTTCCCTTACCTATGATTCTGTCAAAATAAAAAAATACCTTTAAATAATAGCGTGAAGTTAAAATGTATAAACAGAAGGATTATTTCATTTTTGTTCAAAAGAAAACATAGTGTTAGAGTCAGCGAATTAGGATATCGCCGCCACTGGGTCGACGATACCACGTCTGCCCTGTTAGAGTCAGCGAATTAGGATATCGCCGCCACTGGGGACGACGATACAATTAGGCATTCCAAACTGAATGGTTACCAGTGGGTTCTGACCAATGAAGTGGAGAGGGGTAGAATGATAACTGTCAATGAAAAAGTCTGGACACTATGCACAATTTCGTTTTGCACATTTTGTAAACAAAATTCAGGGACGGTTTAACAACATTTTGTACAACAATTATAAAATAGTGCATCGAAAAATAATTAACAAGTATAATTTAATACTAAATCGGAATAAAAACATAAAAAATCATAAATATAAGCAAGATAACAAAGAATTGACGCCAAAAAAGCTTACAACAGCCAAAACACAAACAAAAAACAGAGCTGAACATGAACATAATCGCTGAATAAAGTCGATCCTGGAATTTGTTTACAGTGCTTTAGGGCAACCTCTCCTTGTCATTTACGTGTGTAAGAGTGGAAGGCTGAATCACGCATAATTTCTACACTCGTGATGGATGCGCAGACGGTACCTTATCGTTCTACCCTCTCTACTTCTTTGGTTCTGACGGGTTATGATATGGCAAAATTATGGCAACCCTGTAGGCCTGGTGATTTGACAAGTTCAATGAAATAGATAGTTACATAGATTGATCATCCATATTTTTCAAAATAAACATAAGCTTATGCCTTGAAGTAAAAATGTAAGCAATTATTTTTTTTTAATATCTAAAGGCTAAAAATTGGTTTTAAAACACATTTTTGCTAAACCGATTCAAATTAATAAATATTTGCCAGGCAATATGGCCGCTCGTAAACGACCAGCTTTGAGCAATCTATATAACTGTATATATGTATCATTGACCCTGTTAATGACAACATGACAACAGGGTTGCCATATCTAAACTGTCATTACCCACTGGTAGCCATTTGGACAGGTCGTTGGAATGCCTAATTGGTTCTTTCGTTCGCTGTTGGTGCAGTGTCCACCAGTGTAAATTACACCAGTTACACCACCTTATTTACCCTAATTTACTTCCTCCTTATTCCTTAAGGCTGTATGTCACGATACTAAATTAAGTACTAAATTTAGCACTAAATTAAGTTATTAATTTAGTACTAAATTTAAAACTAAAAATATTTTTTTCCCGTTTGCAACGATACCAATTTTCAGTACTAAATTTACTATAGGCGCACGCGCATTGACGTATTAATACGTGAAATTAACAGAGAAATTAAATATTCTGTGTAAAACAGACAAGTAAATGGTGTTTTTGTTATCAATTTGACACTAGTTGACTTGACAAGAACCAAATACAGCATAAAAACCACGAAAAAAACCTACAAAATCAAACAAGCGAAGTTTATTCAAGGCAATAATGTAAAATTGTCGCTAATTAAAAATAAAAGGGTACAGAAAATACCGTCGTGTCAACTTTTTCTATGAAAAACTTCTGCGCAACATTTCGGCTCACTTTTAGTACTAAATTTAGTAGAAAATAGAAAAAGATCTAATTAATTAATGACTTTTTTTAGTACTAAATTTAGTACTAAATTTGCTGTTTGCAACGTGAATTTTTTTAGTACTTAAAAAATTCATTAATTTAGTTCTAAATTTAGTACTTAATTTAGTATCGTGACATACAGCCTTTATACACATCGTCGAGTGTAATTCACTCCTGCTAAATAGCTGGTGGAGAAAATATCCACCAGTGTACACCACATCGCCGACAGGAAGGTATAGTGGGTTTTACACCGGACCAAACGAAAGGTATGGGTGTGGGTTGGTGTAGTTCATTACTACACCCAACTACACCAGTGGGACGAACGAAAGAACCTCCATGTCTACCCGTTTCAGTGTTTAGGACCCAATACAGCTAAAACACTCTCTTGGCGGCAACGGTTTGAGTCGATTCCGTCGCGCATCCCTTAAGCTCCGCCTTCGGACGAAAAAGACGGCTTTGGCGTTCAGAAGCGTACTTGAAATATTTAGGTTTTGTTTTTTACAATAAAATATATAGGTTCCCGTGGAAATTATTGAGAAATTAATATTAAAAAAAATTCAAGTAACCTAGTTGAAATTTGTTTGGGATTTTTTAATATTAATTACTCAATAAATTCCACGGTAACCTATATATTTTATTGTAAAAAACAAAATCTGTATATTTCAAAAACCTTATTTTTAGTTTTTTTCTACTCCATCTAATCAATAAATAATAGTATACTTAATTATATTTCGAAAATTGTTGTTGAGGTCTTACTTTCTCATAAGACACTGTACAAATACTCACATTTTGAAAAAAAAATTTCTCAAAAATGTGCACGATAAGGTAAAGTTAAAAATTCACTATTAGATAAATAAGGACTTCAACTATTAGAAAAAAAATAATTTTAGTCATAATCTAATATTTTTTATTTAACATTGGTGGCGAAAGGACCTCCTTAAGGTAACTTTAAATTTTCCTGCCGTATCTTTATTAAACTCCTTGCATTCCTGTTATCCTAATGCAAAAATTGAAACCTCAGGCAATAATGGTTGAATTATTCTTTAAATTTACACAGACGCAGAACCGGACAGATAGATTAAAGTGCCCTTTGCCGCTCGTCTCTATCGTGAGCCGTAACGTTTATAATTGTAATTGACGGGCAACACAGAATACATCAAGATGTAACGGTGGTTGCCATTAGTTACCAAAGTTTTTATTCGCTAATAGATAGCGCTCTTATACATTTTGAACAAAGCCGATTAACAAAATCAAGCCGCATAGTGAGGTGATATTTGACACTTTGGCGCCCACATGTGCGTATCGAAATGTACTAAAAAGAATCATCGAAATTAAATTTAACACTTATTACATTCAACTATGACACCTTTTAAGAAAATCATTTAAAAATGATTTTTGATTAATACGCAGCTGAAACAAATGTTCCAATAATAATAAATATTAAAATAGCGCGTTATTAATAAAAAAATAATATAATTTGTCGTAGTACGCCCGCGGGAAACGTGATGTACATTGCGTTCGGTTTGCCAAGTTCCTTTAACTCCTTAACACTTTTTACTCCAAACGACCCTTTTAGCGTTAGGTTTAGTCCGATTAGTGACAGTTTAACACGCTTAAATGTCATTTAAAAATTTGTCCCTCTCCAGCCCCTGACTGACCGAACTCGCCTGTAGAATGCTCGAAATCTGTTTGGCGTCCAAATTGTCATGCGCACCGACCATTTTTTTCACCCTTGTCTGCTTAGAAATTAGGTCGGTGATTTGAAGCCGAGTGACCTGGCAACACTGAAAATTGAGAATTAAGTGACAATGACAGATGACACATAATTATAGTCAGACGCCATATTTGTGAATTCAGTGGGTTTCATCGGAAAGTTTATTATTATCAATATATACATTTATATTATAAAAAAATAAATAGAAGTAAATTAGTACAGGAACATTAAAACAAGACTACTTAAATTGAAAATATCGCTAGTCTCCAAATCAAAAATGAGTAATTTCCAACGCACTTAACCAAAAAAAGAGAAATATTAATTAAAAACAATTACTTTTAATAAGAATAGTTTTATGAGTACATTAATTAGTATGTCTTTGTGAATGGGCTTTGTAGTATAATGAATTCTATAACTTAATTTATTGAGTGGGTCCAAAATTCAAACATGCAACATTTTTTATTGTAAGGTTAAAAAAGATTAAAGTAAATATAAATTAATTAGTATGGCTAGTTCGTTTGATCACGAGGATAAAGATTGGTAAGTACGAAAGTAATTGTTTTACAGATTTTGAAACTTAAAATTCGAATTTCTAGCTGGTACTTTGGAGCCATAGGTAGGCATGAAGCTACAAATTTACTTATGGAAGAGAGAGAGGGTGGTGTTTTTCTAGTAAGAGACAGCGCCTCTTCTGTAGGAGACTATGTTTTATGTGTTAAGTAAGTAAATTAATAAATATTCCTTAAATATGTTTCATCTAACTATTTTTTAGAGAGGACAGCAAGGTTAGTCATTATATAATAAATAAAACACAGCAGCAAGATCAGCCTCGTTATAAGATTGGAGATAATTTCTTTAAAAATATACCAGAACTGTTGTCGTTTTACAAGGTACATTACTTAGATACTACACCTCTTATCAGACCTGCTAGCAAGAAAGTAGAAAAAGTTGTTGCCAAGTTTGATTTTGATAGTAAGGTATGTCATTGTTTATATTAAATGGCCTTTTCACATCAAATAAGTAATAATGCTGCATAAAACTAAATGAAAAGACATAACAATTTTCTGCCTTTATTTTCATAATTTTTTTTTTTTAGGAAAAAGATGATCTTAGCTTTAAAAAGGGAGATATTTTAACAATATTATTTAAGGATGAAGAGCAATGGTGGACTGCTAGAGATAAAAATGGTAGAACTGGTTCAATTCCTGTACCATATGTTCAGAAAGTAAGTATATTTTGCAAATTATAATTACTTGAGTTCAACTTATCTCTAGCCATTCTTATCACATAATTATTGACAAATACTTAATTCTAATCAATTCCAACTGAAAACAATAACTGTAAAATAATTATAAATTTCGTTTTCTGTAACTGATATGAAATAGAATGACTTTAAATATTTATGTGGATTTTATCTCCATACATGATTTATTTTTAGTGTTAACTTACATACTGAGAATTTACAGATATTGTTATTTATTTGCTTGAATAAACATGCAATAATCACATAATTGATATTTAATTATGTAATTTTAAGCACACAATAAACAGAAATATTGCTTTTTTAAATTAAAAAAATATTTTTATACTCCGTAAACCTTCAATGTTTCAATACTAATAATAATATGCTATATTCATATTTTGTACAGATGATTCTCTAGCAATCAATCGCTATATACTTTATATGTATATAACTTAATATAATGTATAACCCTTATTTTAAATAATTACAGTTATGTAACAGTAGAAACAATATATTAATCTTTTACTCAAATAAATGCTTTAAAACAGATGTGGTGCCAACCACATTGACTGCAGGGGAAGATGATATGAAACTTGTCTACTATGAACTACAACCTAAAAAATATTTAAATCAAATTTGCCATGATGTTTTTGATTTAAGAAAGTAATTTGGTTTTCAGATAGAGGAAAATCATTCTCCTGTAGAAATCCCTAGACCTGGATCTGGTGGTCCAGTTAGTAATACTTCCTTGCAAGCTGAAGCAGCAAAAAGAAATCAAATGCAGGTTGGTAAAAAAAGATAATATAAATTATGTTTTTACTAAAATTAAATGTCTTCTGTTATTGTATAAATGTAGTTTACACATCAATAAGTTATTTACAAAATAGTTACTTTAAAAATACCATTGTGTGCTTGCCCTCATGTTGATAATTACCTTAATGGTTCATAACATTCCATTAAGGTTACTAATTATTAGTGTTTCCAAGTTAAAGAATGTTGTCCATTAAATACCAATTAAACAAACAAATGTTAATACAAAGTCACTCTGATATGAATTAGATTCACAAAAACCATAGGGACTATGGTAATGAAAATTCACGTGTGTTTAAAGTACTCCCCTTCAGCATCAATACTCTTTTGTAGTCGTTAACAGGCATGGCGTCAAAATACACGTTGATGGGCACAATCGATTTCTGCTTCTGAATTAAAACGACGACCTTGTAAGTTCTTTTTAAAAAATAACACAATTTGTGAGATTCGGTGAGTAGGGTGGATGTTCAACAACTTTGATGTTGTTTTCCTGCAAGAATCTTAACGTTACTTCCACCTTATAAGGACGAATTGTCCTGATGTAGCATTACTCATGTTACTGACAGCTCTTGAAGAAAAGCAGGAAGACAAACTTGGCTGCACCAAGCGGTTGTTACTGTCCTCTGTCCCTCTAACTTAATGGCTTTCAAAGTCCCGTACTTCTGAAGAAAACTGCATATATGCTTTCTACATTGCACATTGTCTTTTGACGATTGTTGGAAGTGGGTCATCTTTAAAGACCCATACTCTACTTTCCTGACATGTTGGAACGTCATAAAAAGAGATATAAGTTTTGTCACCTGTTAAAATTTTTAAAATAATTCGATGACCACCATTATTTAGCATTTGCAGAGTTTGCCTGCTAATTCGTACAAGCTCGGCTTTTTGCTTCAAAGTTACATAATGGGGCACCCATCGAGAAACAATTTTTCTGACGTGCAATTGTTTGTATAGGATTTTATGAATGGCCGCGGATCATGTGCCTAGGGTTGTCTCCATCATTTGGTAAGTGCAGCGATTGTCTTCTGAGATCAATCTTCTGACAGCAGCCACGTTTTCTGGAGTTACTGCTGTGAATGGTCTTCTTTCATGCTCTTCGTCCTTAAGGCTACTACGACCTGAGAGGCCTAGTCCAAACTGAATTCCTTCAGAATCAGCGTTTTATGAGGATTTATTTACGTGCTTAAATCATTTAACTTATTATTTTTGTTAATTTTGGTGTTTTGAAAAAATACTCTTAATATTACTAGGAAAAATAAACTGATAAATTTTCACAAAAGTAATCTTGATCTAAATGAAATTTGATTTTTCATAGTAATTATTGTGGAGTTTCATCAAGTAAAGGTCAAAATAATCAAGAATACTATTAATATTTAACAGTAAGACCTATTCAGAAATAAAGATCAAGTAAAAATTGGTTTTCTATTATCATTTCATAAATTTCTATAAATTTTATTATAACTCATTACACAGATCACCCTATAAAATAGGGTTCAAAAATTACCCAATTTTGTCAAAACTTGTATCTTTTTGTAAAACATTATTCACCGTTGTCAAAAATTATCCCATTTTGTCCAGTGTTACCACTTTTTAGTCCGAATATTACTTACTCTTGATTTGGTCTAAAATTACCTATTTTGTATCCCGTTGTTACCCTTTTTGGTGCATTACCACTATTTTTTAAAAAATACCTTGATTAAATCATACAATTGATTTGTAATTACTTTTTCTAGCGAAAATTGCCAGCAAAGGCGCGAGTTAAGCAAGTACGGATACCAAATGCTTATGATGATACCGCTTTGAAGCTAGAAATAGGCGATATCATAATTGTAACAAAGACTAATATAAATGGACAATGGGAAGGAGAACTGAACGGCAAGACGGGATATTTTCCATTTACGCACGTGGAATTTTTGGATGAAGAGAACGGAAGTTAATCACCACTTGGGGAGTTGTAAAATTTTTTAAATATTTTGCTATTTGTATAGAGCTCGAATTTTTATTGTATATTTATTGAATTTTTAATTTTAATTGGCACTAACATTAATCCAATATATACATATATATTATATCCATTTATTTATGAACAATTATACAACTGCGCTGTTATATTCAATTTATATTTTTATTAATTACATATCAGTATTTTGGTCTTTTCATTTTATTGTAGATTAAGCAGTTTGGCTTTATCGTCAATAAAAGATTCTATCATTCGATTCGTATTTTCTTTAAACCTAAATTACATTGATTTTTGTATTCCACAAAGAAATACCAATAAAAAACATGATACAGACCTGTAATCTAGCGCACCCAGGTACCTTAATAATTTATTAATTCCAATTAATAAATATAATATTGCATTCTTATTAAATTAAAAATCCTTTAACGAACAATCTCCCAGATAATTAGATCTTATTTATGACATCTCATAAATAATATCTATAACCCTCTCATTAAGAGATCCACTTTTCGTGCACGTGTCTGGGAACCCAGACCAAGAAACACTTGACACACTTATCATTTTCAAAGCAAGTAATAAATCGGCCACCCCCTTTCCTCCCAGATTCGTTTTTCGCACAAAAAGCCATTAACACTAGTATAAGAAGCCAGACCCAAATGAGCTCGGATTCATTCATTTTTTATTATTTTACATTCAAGCAATCACTTTATTATTTGTATCCAGTTATATAGTCTGTACCTTTCCTAAAACGCCCTCCCTAAACGACGTCTATCCTACAGTACCTCCTATCCCCAAAGGTGTCAACATCTCGACGCCCAACGTCCTACTTCCCTACCATTCTACGTTATCACTTCTAACACCACTTTAGTATTTCCTACCATTATATTCATCCCGACGCTCGACGCCCTACTTCCTTACCTATCTACGTCTTGAACGCTGTCACATTCCGTACCATCTAAGTATTTCCTACCTTACATTCATTCCGACGCCCAACGTCCCATCGCTCTACGCTTGCCGCCCCTAAATATTTCCTTCATAATCTTGTCGACACCCTTCGTCACGTCCCAGACCACCTAAATATTTCTACCGTATATCTGTCCCAATTCGGTACCGTATATCTGTCCCATTGCAGTACGGTATTAAATACCTTCCTCTCCACTACGACGCTAGGCGACTCGACGCAAAGAGACGCTGCGACGTACCTAAATTGAAGCAGTCACAACGCTAGATGAAATTAATACATAATCTCCCAGATAGCACAGGACGTCCTGATTTGGACCGGTTGGTCCCGGACCTAAATAGGACGTCCACTGGACTTCCGATTACAGTGAACACTAGGACGTCCTATTTTGGTCCCGTTTCAACAAAGCGTTTAGTTTTCGGTCCGAGTCCGGGACGTTAATAGGACTTTCTATATACTAGCATCGTTGGTCTTTGAATCTATTTTGGTCCCGTTTCAACAAAGCGTTTAGTTTTCGGTCCGAGTCCGGGACGTCTATGGGACTTTCTATATACTAGCATCGTTGGTCTTTGAATCGATAACTTGAAATTCAACGTTTTGTTTTTGCAAGAGTATAAGGACAGAAAACAAATGAACAACAACAGCTACAATTTTCGGCATTCAATAATTTACTTATATAAGTGAGCTAGATTAACGAAGAAAAAAGGTTATATAGTGTTATTTGTTATTTTTTTGATGTTGGTGGTAAAGTTATTTATCAATTTGCGCCAAACTTTGCATCGAATCCTGGTTTACTTTAATTAACATTATCACAACGTGGGTATATAAAATATCAATTAATTAACTAGACGATCACTTCTACTACTAGAGGAAAAAGGCCAAATACAGTAAGTATAGAACTTAAAATAAACTTGTGAGGTAAATAATAACATTTTAGAGAGTAAAACAACGAACAACTGGGGTACCGGGGGTGGGCCGTTACAGATCCAGGGTCGTAACTAGGACGGTGCTCAGGCACAAGACGAAAAATGATATCAACTTGAAATTTTCAGGAAAAATTAAGCTCTATAAGGAGAAAAAGCCAATTGATCCTGAAAAAAAATAATAAAAATCCTAACTCAAAAAAATGAAAAATGATATCAACTCAACTTTTTAGCAAAAAATCGAGCTCTATAAGGGGACGAAGTCTACCGATTCTAAAAAATAAGGGGAATAAAGGGGTGTCTTAAACTTTGAAGAATATAATATAGAATGCCAAGCATTATGCAGGGTATCTCAAAAGAGTAGGCTATTCCGTTAATCACAGATTCCTTAGCTCAGTGTAACAAACTTCTTATTATTTTTTCCATTGTGGCCATCATATTCAATGGAAAGGGTGACAAAGTTAATCAAAAATACGTTTCTCATTATATTTTCGTCGTTTTATTAAGTAGATTGCTTAAAATTGGTACATCCGGGTTTTTTGGGACGACAAATCATAATTTGAACCTAAATATCACATACCTACCTCATAGAGGGCACTACTTGCAAGGGGTTTATTACCTTAAATATGATGGCCCCAATCAAAAAAAATAATAGAGGTTTCTTACAGAGACCTAAGGAATCTATGGTTAATGGATTGGCCTACTTTTTTAGGACACCCTGTATATAGGATTTTTCTTCATGATATGCGAATATAAACTTTGGTCCAAAAATGTTCCATTACGAAAATACAGGGTGCTAAAATTTTGGGATAAAAGATAAATTAATATTTTCATAACCGCTTGAGATATTTCGGTGATATTTAATATTCAGTGGCAGTTAATAATGGTGCATATTTTTCAATACAAAAAATAATTTTGGACTTTAACAGTGACGTGCCTACAGACACAAAGCCTCAATATTTTTGAAGGAAAAAGTTTTTTTCCCAAATAAAATTTATTTTTAATTTTCTCGTTCAATTTTATACTTAAAGGATCTTTTGATTTCTTTTCTACGTTGCTCCGTTTTTGAGTAAAAAAATAAAACCTGACATTTGGACCATAGTTTATAAAAAATTATCAGTAAATTCGGTTGTCTTCATTCTATTTCATTTCATTTAAAAATATTTATTCATTTTTCTCAATAAATTCTATATACATCGTCAGTTTAATATATATACACACACTGTACTTGTACACAGTACATGATGCATTGTGCGGCTCTACTAGTCGCCTACCAGAGCTATGGCGATTTACTCGCCTATAATACACCGCGAAGTTTTTAATTTTGATATACAATAGCTGCCCTCACTCCGTGCCCTGTGGGCATTATTAAGGGATTTAGGTTAATTTGGGTCAGTAATTGTACGTAAAAGTAGGTATGTTTTGTCTTAGTTTCGATTGTGTCCCCTGAAAAAGCTAGTAAAAACAGGGTTGTCATTGGTAGTTAGTGGTGTCTTCATTCTAGTTTTCATCTTTAGTAGAACCATATCACCCATGTTTTATTTCAAATTGCAAATAATAGATTTAAACAAATATCTTTTAAAATATACAAATAAATTATTCCAAGTTTAGACAGTATTCCATGAAACGTTTTGAGATTTATTTCAAAAAATATTCCGCTGTTTTTTTGGAAAAATCACTCTCTAAAGCCTTGGTTTCTTTGAACACTCCGTCGCGGTGAGCGGACAGTCCGCCGACCGCTGAGGACAGCAATTTTCGCCCGAGGTGGTTTGTTAAAAAATATAGAAAATGATACTTTCTCTATGTCTGTACGTGCTGTTTATGTATTATGAATGTAAACGAAAGGTACTAAAATGGTTGCAAATAAATTGTTTGCGTTATTATTGTTGGAAGAGGAAGAACAAGAGGAACTGGCAATTGCAACCGTCAAAGTTTCCAATAAGCCAGTGAATGAGTTGTTTTTCTGTCGCGATGCAGAAGGTGCCTTTAATATCACTGTGCAGCGGAGGCTTTTTGGAAATGAAACCAAATTTAGGGAGTATTTTAGACTTTCTACAGATCTTTTTGAATTCGTGTTGAGTTTTATAAAGGACATAATTTCCAAGAAACCTAAAAATAAAGTCATGATGTCATCTGTATGTGTGAATTTGTCACTCATTGTTTTAAAATTAATAACTATATAGTCTCCGCACACGCCGACGATTCCGCTGATATCAAACTCAACAGATATCAACCGACTCTTCGCGACAAATCAGCGGCATGACGCCGTCCTGTTCAGCTAAGCAGATTCAAGAAAACCATTCCCTTTTAAATACTCTGGTTGGATAAAATCGTCAAAACGCGACGGTTGACGGACTGTCCGCTCACCGCGACGAAATGTTCAAAGAAACCAAGGCTTAAAATCCACGACACTTTATAGGAAACCAATATTACATGATTCGTAATGTAACATAATTCCAAGTAATATCACATAAAACGTACATATTCTGTACCTTAGAGGCAAAGAACCTTATCTTCAATCTTAAAATTTGGAGAAAATGGGGCCCAAAGTTGAAAATTCTACTTTTTTCCTCTTTGAAAAATGAACATACTATTTTTTTCTAAATGTACTATATCAAAAACTAGTTCTAATAGAAATACGATTTACTACTAATAAAAATATAAGCTTTAGCAATTTTACTGAATGCCATTATCTCCACTTATACAAAATTGGAGACATGACTCTTTACCTTTAAGGTACATATTTATTTGTACTATTGCCTTAGCCTCTTATCTTTCTCAAACATTTTTTTGTTTATGTGTCTTACAACTTTCAGTTAAAGTGCATGTTTCTTTGCCGTACATCACTGTTAACCTAACAATCTTAGTGTAAATTTATGTGTATACAAAAATTGTGGGTATTACAAAAATCCGATGATGTGTACCAATGTTTAAAAAATTACAGATGACTAAGTCTTCTTCTGGTGCAAATACTGGATGGGATGGAAGGAGTAAAAACAGTTAATACCTCTTAAAAAAATTCGAATATATTTTCAAAAATATACAATAAAAAATGAACAATACAACGTATCTAAAAAATTAGATAATAAAATTGTGATATAAAAATTATTAATCTAATAAGATCTTAGTCTAATTTGTGGACGGACATTGTAAATTTATAGATAAAAAAACGATTTAGGGCCATAATAATTCAATATTTGGAGATTGCATCTTTTTAATAACCTTGTATTGTGAATAGACTACAAGCCAACAGTATGCCTGAAAAAAATCGTATTTATTGTAACATCCATAAATGATATATGGACCCCATTATGTAATTGTGAATTAGGCGACATTAACATGTTTTCGAGAAACAGGAATAGAAAGATAGTATTTCCTTGGCATATATAAAAATGTCTCTCAAAACGCGTGTCCCTATATTTCGGTAAAATAGGGAATTTTAACTAAGAATAAGTTTTGTAATGACTATTAAATGATGGCCCTATTTACTCGATTTTGGAATTTTGTCTCTTAATTTATTATTGCATAATGCGGTCCATATTATGTTCCTATGTAAATTTCAAAAAATAAAAAGCAAGAAACTACATTTTACTGATTGTTTTAATATTGGTTTAAAAAAATTAATAAGTGAATACAAACTTACGTTATAAACCATCCAACCCCATATTACCAGGGAGTATAATACAGTATCAAGCTGAAATAAAAAAAAAAAATTGAATATTTTTAATTAAAAACCACATGTTTATAGGACTGAACAAATGATATATTAAAAACACGTTTTAATATTGAATGAATTTATCTACCACCTAAGTGTGCCATCCATATCTAGTTTTGAGGAGTTACTTCACATTTCCTACTTTAGAAATTGAATATGTCTTAATACATTTTAAATATACAAGGAATCTATCTACACACATGTAACACATTTTTGTTTAACTAGGTATCTGCTGCTAAATTTGATTAGTTTTTAAATATTCCCTTTGAATATTTGTCTGCATATTTAAACATGCAAATCCTTGAAAACAAATATCACTACTGAAGGTCCAAAAACGTTTAGAAATATTTTTTTGTCACAAGAGTTATTAACATGCAGTAACTTTGGTTTATATTTAGTTAAAACATGTATAATGACATTGCTTGTAACAAAACTACTACATTTAAAACGTCCAAAACACTTACATAAATATAATAACCTCCGACTAGCCACAAACCAAAAACGAGTTGAAACAGTATGGCTATCCCAAATAACGTCATCCAGGGCACCATAAATCCTCTTACTAACCGTCTTATCCCCCAAACAAGCACAACAGCAGAGGCAATAAGTGCCAAAAAGTACACAATAAGCAATCCTCCTATTACTTGCATAGCTACAAAGGCAAAAACAATATTTTAACACAAGCAAAAACACACAATTCTAATGTGGCACACATATACTTACACAATCGTACGTCTGCTTCAAACAAGGGGTTGTACAACTGTGTGGAGTCTCCACCAGCCATGTTGAATATGATGAATGTAATTAAAACTATACTCATCGCACCTGTATAATATGCTATTGCATTGCACCCAGTTTTTAAATCATCAGTCCAAATGCAAGGGGACCAACAAGAATGTAACACCATGATTGATTTGGTTTAAATGTCCCTGTAAAAAAATATACACTTATAATTAACTAAAAATGAATTATGTATCATTCAAAAGAATTTTTTAAAACAGCTCAGTTACCTCTTATTTATGGGAATGGCAGTATGGCACACCCTGCTGAAAATTAAGCGCGTCAACAAAATTAGTCAACAAAGAGTCAAATGTCAACAACTGTAAAATTGTATTTTTCTATATTTTTTATTTATAAATTACATCTTTGTCAAAAGTCAATGTCAAATTCATGTCAAATTTCGCGCATGCTCTATTACGAAAGATTTAATGGCGTTTTCCATTGACATGCTCAGTGCGTTATCCTTCCTCCATGGGTCGCTCCTCCAAACAGCTGCCAGTTGAAAGGGCTGGTGGGCTGGTAAATATATAAGGAGACTTTGATTTTCTGTGGATTTAGCATTCCATCTTAGACGGTATTTTTATTTGATATAGTAATCGTCAAGCCTTCCAATGTATGAGCCATTTTTTTTTAAATAATAATTTCATTGTGTTTAACATAAAATATTTAATTTTTGTAGATAAACTACATCGTACGTCGCAACCCTTTAGACATACCAAACCATAATCCTTCCTACACATAGAAAAATAAAAAGACCAAACCTTTCTCCATGGAGGAAGAATAGTTACTTTAGATATAGCAGTTTACAGTTTAGTAAAACTATGTTGGTAACAGTTCTACTGGTTATTTCTAAAGCATAGTAAAGTTTACTATACCATAGGCGTAGAAAGAGGACAGAAAGAGGATCCGAAATATTTTGATTTTATTTACTGCTCAGATTAAACAATAACGCATTATAATCACTCCAGCTTTCCTTACTACTTGTATGGTAATTCTAAAGTAAAAGAAAGTCGTGTTGGCTTTGGGTATCTATTCTTGAATCTTAGGGAGTAGAAATTTTGAGAGAAGAATGAGACAAAAATAAAAATTTTGTGCGTTGCAGATAAAGAGGAACAACCGGTTTTCTATTCCCTGGAATTCAATAATAGGTATCCTGGTGTAGAAAATGTCTTCCCTATATTCAAGCAAGGTGGGTTGTCTATAAGCGTTTTCTTTTATTCAGTGCTATATATCCAGCGCTTGCAGCAAACCGTTCCTAAATTAAGCGATGTAAAAACGATTGTATGTGTCAATCGTTCTTTTTTCCAGCTGTGAGTTCACCAATGAGCAAACGTATCCATCGGCTTTAAAAGCCGATGGATATGTGATGGATGAAGAAAGGGGATAGTTAATCAATTTGTTTGAACATGTGAACACGACTATTTAGATAAAAGTTAACCTACAATATAAGAGTTTAAATATAAAACGGCTACAGAAGAGATAAATAACTGTTAATTTAAATTAAAAATGGTTTAATTTTTAAAGCGATGTCAAACGTCAAATTTTTCATTTGAGAAATGTCGTTCGTTCTTATATTCAGCGCAAATACCTTCCACCAGAAATTAATCAGTGACGTCATGACATCAATCATTGGAACAATTGTTGAATAAAAGAACACACCTTATATATCTCATTAGCTTTGTTCGCGGAGCCTGTCGGCGACATGTCCACGACAGATGAGCATGCGCATTTTGATTTTAAGAGTTCGTGGAGCCGAAAATCGCTTAAGAGGAAACCGGACCTCTCGCGAAGGCAAAAATATTTTAAGGATTTTCTAATACAAAATTTTATTTATATGCGTGCCATTGGGAATACTTCGTGATATTATGTGTCTTGACAATATTGAGAGCTTTAAATTTGTGCAACGATAAGGCAGCACTCTACAGAAGCGTTTAAGAAAAAAAGGTGGGAAAGCATTTCATTTAAAAACTACTAGATATTTATTAAAACAGAAAGCAGCAAATTTTTATAGATTTAATAAAGAATGGCGCGTAAATGTTTTTTTTTAAATTCTATTTAAAATAAATACTTTTCGAAGGTTTACAAAAAATTAAAGGTTTCTCCACCCTAAGTTTTGTTATTATTGGTATTTCCTGAAAATTTCACAAAAATCGGACTAAAAATAAAGGCTCAGAATGAATTACAAATTTTTGATGTGTCCGGTTTGCTCTTTAATTGAAATGCTCATACCTTCACACCACAATACGTCACCGTCCGTGACGTAGTATCAATCTGAGTAATATCATACCTTCTTATAGTATCGTGGTTTAAAACTACGATTTCTCGCATAATTTATTGCTTTTATAAGAAATTCTTTTTCAACGTACTTTTGTATAATTTGTATTTAGTTCTGTTATATATAAATTAATGTCTCACCCACCTTGTGATTGGCTGGCCCCGTTGATAGTGCCTAATAGATTACTGCCGATAGATCGATAAATATACAGCCGATGTTTTGTGTTTTCTTAGGGCCGATTCCACCGTTGTGTTAAACGAAATTTAAATTACTAAACGAACGTTAAAATGACAGTTTGTTATAATCTAAATGAACTAACACTTATTGGTAGTCTGATAATATTTTAGAATCTCTTGAATATATAAAGGACACATCTCAAAAAATATTATAATAATAATAAAATATTCTGTTTTTAGAAACGTGAAGTTTATGAATCACCATGTGTAATAAATCAATTTGTTATTTGTTATTTCTAACTCGTATTTCATATATCCAATATAACAGTTTGTGTAAACATACAATCAATTTCTATAAAAACAAATAAATCCTGGATACCCACTCCTACCCTTATTTTCATTACTTGTTGTATCTCTTCTAATTCAATAACAGCTTCCCTTTTTTAACTTCGCTTTTAACGAGGTATAAACTTTTCTTGAACTAGAGACATTGTTCTGTAGGTCTTAAAACACACATTCAACTTAAAAATTAAAAGTTTCTTCTAATATAAATGGTCAAATACGTTTATTTTTAATAATTTGTCATCAAATCTCCTTAAAATCCAGGAATGCAGAAATACTACATAAGCATGATGTGATGGTGGCAAGGCGGGTTTATAAAAACTGACAAAGCGTATTCGTTCCAATATTAAAACAATTACAGTTTCCTCAAAAATGGTAAATAAAAATTATTTTACTTCCAAAGCTTTTATTTTAAGTAAAATCAGATGATAAAATATATAGGCTGTATTTCTTTTGTGTTCAAAATGAGTGATATAAGGAGTCATCCACAAAAAACGTTTCTAAAGTAGGCCTTGTAAATCTCTTTTTACATTTGATTAGAGAAGAGAGAAACAATTTTGTCTAGTTCGACCTTTTCTAATAGACTCCACAGCCTAGGACACATGTAGCTCTCATTTGTTGCTCTTTGCCTTTGGTTGTTCTTATTTAAGTATACGTCACACTATGCATTATTTTTTATAGCTCTATATTTGAAACGAATCACATCATACAGTATGTTAACTTTCCAATACTAACTCCAGGAGAACGGTATATAAAAACAATGCTATTGAATAGACAGAAATAGAATAATACATTGCCGACTGCGGATCTCAAAATATCTCCTCCCTGTCACCGAAAGGGTGTAGTTAAAGCAAGTTACTCTCTGTATGCTTCTCACGTCCAAATATCATTAAGCATCTTATCTTTATTTTGCTTGATGCGTTGGTTAACGTACTGTATAGTGGTTTCCAAACTTATTATACAGCTCGCTGCAATCTCATACAGACAGCTTATGGACGATGACTCGTAATTTGTGAAGTTTATAGTTGTGTATTGGTGGTAGTGTTACTATGGCTTCCAGGATTGCTGCGGGATTTTTTTCTTAAGATTCCAACTAGTTTTCTTCTTACCACAATTGCCAGATCATCGACGAATCATAAGCAGCGAAACCCTGTAGCCTTTTTTATTAATTCATCCAGTAGGACTGTGACAAAAAACAATGCAGATATTACTATTTGCTTTTACCATTTTTTATTATTTATATTTTTGCATCCCTTTATTTGATAGTGTGTTCATTATAGGCCTTTTATGTGCAAATGTACCCTCAATATCTACAATCGTAGCATTGAGCTATATTCCTATTTTTTTATTCTCCGGAGATTTTGAAAGAGCCTTTCAGAAAAATAGTTTTTCATGTCCCTCAAAAAAAAAATAGAAAAGAATAGCTTTTCTTCGAATAATGAACTGGAACATTCCGTGGACGAATAGTTTGAAGAAGAGCTAAAATATATTTCTTGTTGCGTACGAACAATTTTCTTAATTGCTCTGCTTATACAGAATTTAATTAATGTAGGCATAGAAAGAAAAATGACCCCAGCAATGGTACGCCTAGTGTTAAAGTAGTGGTAGGCTTTTAAATTAAACAAGTATAAAATAACTTAGATTCTATTACTTAAGTTGATACAACGGTTCGATTATTTCGCAAAGATTTAAAATAATGCGCCATCAAAAAATTGTATTTGTAAGTAAACAGTGTTTTGTTGTCGCAAAATACACAGTACAGTGAAATATGTCGCACATATCAACACGTTCAAATCGTGTAGTGGAACAGCAGCCAGTTAGAAAAAAAAACTTAAGGCGAATTCAAAACAATGGGTCAGATTTTGAAATGGAAGGTAAGCAATATCTATACTTTTTCAACGGTTTACAAAAAAAAATCATACTCAATTTCGTTGTTTTATTCGTCTTCTCTTAATTTTTTCAAATACCTGAAATGAAATTAGCTGGTAGATTAATTTATTACTGGTTTTTAAAAGTTGATTTAACAAATTTATCGCAGTTTGATAACTACGAATCCGTAAATTTTACAGGAAGCGAAAAAACCTTTTTAATGTTAAATAATACAAAATATAGATTAATATTTTCATTTGAGATCATTATAAGATAGTCACCCCTGTAACGTAAAGTAGTTTTTATAGAATATTAACCAAAACTATAATTTTTAGAGCAGATATATGCCATATTAATATATTAAATTCTTAAATAATTGATAGATATGGAGTATAATCTTGAAACTTTAATAAAAAAGAACCATACGGGATATTTGCGAAGAATTATTATAGTTCAAGCTATTCTTATCAAGATACGAAACTGGGAATTTGTGGACACGTAAAATGGACCAGTAGTGACATTTATATATCTTTCAACGAAAAACCAAACTTCGTAAATTATCTAGATACGGGTTATTATAGCATTGTCATCAAAATATGTTTTAATATTAAGAATATATAGTATACCTATGAAGTTGTAGAGAATTTAAAATCAACGTTACATTGACAAGTGTGTGAAATTATATTGTATTAATGAACAGCGTAATGTATTAGGTTTATTTATAAAATAATTAAAATGGCTTCCACAGACTCCCACAGTGTAAGTTCGAGGAGAATAATCGATGGAAATTGGAAATAGGAGTTTTCATTATTTCCTTAACGGAAGTAGACAATTTGTAAAGGATACTTAAACGTGCCAACTTGTACAGGGCTTCCGCCTTATTATTACATCGTCTGTCTACTCAATCAATTTTGTAGTCTTTTATACCTATCCTGTTTTCTATACTTGCCTATCTCTCCATTCACCTTACTATAACAATGTCCTGTTTTATTAGCTCCATTCAGTATTCTGGTGGTCTGCATCTTTCATAGCTTGATTTCAAATAACTAAATATAGCGAATTTGTGTTTTTTGAACGAAAATACTGTGTCGTTCTCAAAATTAAATAGAACCGAGTGACACCTATTTAGCAGGTTTTCAAACCTTTTCCCAACTTTTTTTTATTGAACTATTATTATTGAACCATTAATATATTAATATAATCAAGAATAATACGTATGTTGGATTAAAAATACACAGAACACTTTGGGCTAGTGCAGTGCCGCTTTTCTTTTGAAAACAATTACTCCTTTGGGTAATACCTCAATAATTAATAATTGCTCCAAAACAGTTCCAGACCAGCGTTGAAAGAATTGTATTTTAATTAAGGGCCTTTAAGAGGCTGCTGTTTTATTGCAAATTTTGGCTACCGTCTTTTGAGGATTCCCGAGGAATGATTTTTTATTGATTACTTGCAACACAGAGGGACAATAACAGGTGATTATTTGGCTTCGTTATTATAGACATATTGAATGAAGAAATCAAAGATAAAAAGACCTCATTTGGTCAAGAAAAAATCTTGTACCACCAAGATAATGCCCCATCCCACAAGTCGGAAATTGTGATTCCAGTTAATTGAACATGCCCCGTATTCACCAGACTTGGCTCCGTTCGATTTCTTCCCGTTTCCAAATCGCAAGAAATGGTTGGATGGAAAGAAATTCTCATCGAAGCTGTAAAAGGATATTTCGAAGGTTTCAATAGTTCAAAAAGACTATGTAGAAAAATGAATATAATTTTCCCCAAAAAGCTGTTTTTAAGCCTCGTTCTAGAAATTTTCCGATCTAATAAAGTTTAGTTTTACTCGGATGAGGACACCGTGTATATTTACCCAAAGGTTTCTTCAATTAAACTGATTGGAGGGGGTTACTGGACATCGGAGCGGACAACTGTGGGATCGTAACAATTTACGAAACCCACCCCTGGCTATAAAAGTTTGAAAAGTTCACCGGGAAGTACATTTGTGCGAGATAATTCCAAGGAATCACTTCAAAATGTTCAAAGTTGTTTTCGTTGTTATTCTAGCAATTATTGCAATATGTAGCGCGCAGGTTAATTTTTCTCCTAATTGGGGAAAAAGGGCCATTAATCCTGGGGATGAAAACGAGAATAAATGCAGAGAAAGTATGGATACACTCATGCTTATCTACAAGATTATTCAGGTAAATACAAACATTTTTGTTAGTTATATTTATTAAAAAATTTCTTTTAATTTTATCAAATGTTTAGTTTCAAATAATTTGATTTTTTGACGAATGAAAATTTCTGCAAATCCTTATTTCTATACGAGGACACTCAAAATTATATATAAGCACTGTAAATTGCCAAAATTGTTATAATAAATAATGGGTATTCCATTAAAAGTTTCTGAATGTTTTTTTTTTATTGAGTTCTGCAGATTAGTATAATTTTAGCAATGCAGCTATTGCTTAAAAAAAAAAGTGATTATATTGTTAAAATTTATTTTTAAAATTGTTCATCATATCGTGGAATTCGTGATTATTTTGATGAACAAAATCGTTCCTTAGAAAAAATTGTTTATAGTTTAGTTCAGAATTTTTTCTTTTATTTATTATCAGTATTCGGAAAATCTTGTTGGAACACCCATTACACTTAAATACAATATTTATCAAAACAAATATCGATTTTACCAATCTTAGAACCTCAAAATTTTCTTTTTAATATTATAAAAATCGCTATCCTCTTATAGTTTCCACCAATATTTTCCTTAAGGATAAAGTTATCGATTTCATAAATTAATTAAATGCGCTAGGTATTTATAAAGACTATTGTACTATTACTTTTGGATTAAGATTCAGTGCCGTATTATATAATGTTTAATCAAATGTTCTAAGAAAAGATTCACTTTGCTATACTTTTGCTACCCAATGTGCTTCAATATTAGGTAAACATTTAGGAATTGTAACAATTTAGTAAAAACAAATATCTGCCAATTAACGTAATGTCATCTCTCTATTATTCACTACCTACAGAATTCATTCGTAAAAATAATATAGCCGTTGTAGAATTTATACAAGACATTTTTTTTTAAACTATAATTATTATAAATTATTTATTAAAAAAGCTTGTTTTTCTTTTAGAATGAAGCTCAAAAGTTGGTGGAGTGTGAAAATTTTTCTAACTGAATGAATAAGTTTGTCAATTTGTGCCCAAGTGAAGATCTCTTTGTAGGAAAAATAGATTATTGTGATTATACTTTGTTGTGTTATTTTTGAATAAAATAATTATAGGCTGGCTATAAATTATATGTTTTACGTACTTGGAAATAAACCCGTCCAAAGTCAAATAACTCGCTTGATCTCCAGGTCTTATATTATTGTTGTACGATGTTACATAGAAAAATAAAAAGGTTATCTTCTATATCATCGTTCTCAACTACAGAGTTATTTCTATTTCAATCAGCTTTGGAGGATGTTTTACTGAAATTTACTAAAATGATCTTCGGAAGCAAAACTATATAATAAGTTTAATTGAAATGTCAAAGTTATAAGTAATTCCCTTATTGGCCATAAACTATTAACAATAACAAGCGAGGAAAATTTAATACCGTTTTTGTGAAAAAAGTAAAACAAGAAGTTAAAAAAGTCAATTATTATAAGAAGTTTTTAGCTAGATTTAGGGAAAAATATTGAACAAAGCCGAGAATTGACATATCTTATTTTTCAAAAAAATTTAAAGCACGTGAAATTTAAAGGACATTATTATTGTAGTTCTAATAATTAAGCTTATTAATAATGTTCTTTTGAATGGTTATTTTCCAGATGAATTTAAAATTAATAAAATAAGTGGTATCTTCAAATCGGAAGTAAAAAAATATAAAAATAATTATAGATCTATTATATCGTAGTATTAGTATATTTTCCAAAATTATTAATCACAAAAATATTAAAAACAGAATCTTAAAATAAATAGATAAAAATATACAAGTTGACGAATTCGAATATGGCTTTCTCAAAAATAGTACTAAGTTTGTTAAGTGTTATTTTAACAGATCTTATTTAGTTAGAAAAGTTTCTCTAAATAGCCTCCAATAATATTTATGGAGGTCTAAAGGTGGTTTTCAAAGGTTCAACTCATATTTTTAAGCATAATGCTTATCTGATTCACGACTAACGGTTGTATTAAAAAACTGGCAACTTTTTTAAACACAAATATCGACTAATGACGTTAGTAATAACGAACTGTCAGTATTGAGGTTTCAAAGTCAACTTAAAAATATAATAAATTTAGAATAAAGTAGGTATTATAATGGGGTGAGTTTATGATTGGTTGCTATTGGTATTTATTTATTAACTGAATGTTAAAGTCCTATTAGAAATTGTTAAAAACCTATTCAGTCGATAATAAATTACAGCTGGTTAAATTATAATTACTAATTAACAAACAGTATATTTACTTAAAATTAAAGTATTTTCTGAATTATCTTTTTTTGTCATTTAAATTTAAAAATCCTCCAAAATTAATAACTTTAGGTTTTACTTAATTTAATGTACTTTTAAATATTGATATAAAATACATAGGGTAGTCAATTAAAAAATAAATGAGAAAATGATGTATTTGAGTTTTGACTCACCCTGTACAAATTTGTTTTGAATTGAAAAAAGTAGTGCAAGTTATATCAATATATTACCCTTATCACCTACAATAAATGCAATCTTGCGAATATTAGTAAACAGGATAATGTTACTTTTCAGTTCATATAAATAGTAGAACATGCATTATATTTTCTTTATTCATTTAGACTCGATACATTGTTCTTTTAACACAGCTCATAACGTTCTCCAATAGTTTGCATTGTTAGTTCATAAAGTCAATAAAGTTTCTTTTTAAAAAAATAAGTTTTCGCTTCCAAATTTAAAACTTGCATCGGCATAAAATGTTGACTAATATCGAAAGCCTTTTATCGCAAAAAAATTGGTTTTCAATCGTTTCTTTTGCAGTATACAGGTCATTGAAATCAATACCATTTTCATATAAAACTGGTTATAGCGTGGGAAATACCATGCTCTCCAGTCACGTCGTGTCACCATGGGACTTAGCCGACTAGCGTTTAACCATTGACGACGTGGAATGAATGACAGTGAATTGGTGAATGAGAAAAGTAGTTGGACCTTCAAATGGTGGTACCTGTAATCTCTGGGTGGTACAATAAGCCGCAGACTGCAGTGCCGCCAGGCTGCAGACGGATTAGGGTGATAGTAAGGGGACTGAAGGGTGTAAAAATAGCGTTTGTTTATCCACATTGGGCACATCTACTACATCTACATCTGCGTTTGTTTATCCGAGATGTAGCTGTCCAGATTTCATTTTTTACATCTCGATTTGATTTGAGATGTTTGTTCCATGCCAGAAAGTAGGTGTTCTTTGAAGTCAAGTTTATCGATATATCCTTTGTTCACAACATCTCAGATGCATCCGATATGAATAATCAAAGGCAATATTGGTATTGTTATAATGGGAAAAGCGAGGGAAATTCAAATATAAAATAAAATATAGGCAGTGCCATTAAAAAGAAAACTAACTTTGATATGTATCACTTTCTTGGAGAATCCTATATAATTGAAAATATTTTTAAATTGTTCCCTCTTTTGATTTACATCTCGCTGTCAAAACAAATTTTAAAAAATTATAGTTTTAGCTCTACATATCCAGGTGTTACCTACCGGTATACACAGCTCTAACGAACAAAATATTCAGGATAAAATTGTAAAAAAGTTAGATAAAATAATTAAGAGCAAAAATATATTTTCTTTTGTATAAATCTTAACATAATTTGCTATGTATTCCTTCTAATAAAAAACACACTATACTACTATGATCAATTAATACGTAATAAAAAAACCATCTAAAAACGCTTTCAATCTACACAAATTATTAATTAAGGAGTTTGAGAAATTATCTGTCTTTTTTCCACAATATTCTAGCAAAATCTTTTATATTTTACGTATATATACAATACAGGACGTTCTCTAAATTCTTTGTTTTATTTTATGATTAAAAATTCATATAAACAAAGGCCCGCACACTCTTCGTTACAGATCTGCAGGGTGTGGAAATTTCAAGATTTTTTTGCTTTTTCTTTAATTCATAAACACATGCAGACACACAAGTTACGAATTCAAATGCGTACATTAAAATAAGAGCTGATCCACAATAAAGCCAGAGCCTACCACACAATGTAAAAAAAAAATAATTTAATTTAGCGAATTGCAGTTATTCTTTCATTTTTCTCTTTAACCCCGATCGCAAAAACAAAAAAAAAACATGAGAGACTAAATTGTTTCTAAACAAAACAGAAAATTGGTTTTTTTATAATCTATATATAGGTACTAACGACGTACCGAAAAAACGGTCAGGGGAAAAAAGGCGGCATGACCGCTGAAAAAATATCACTCTGTATATCATCACAACCATATGGCTTTTCCAGTAAACTAGCGTAAACTAGATTCCAAATTTGAGCTAAATATATCAAAAAATGCAGGAGCTATAATAAAATACCAAAAATTCATAAATTTAAACACCCTGCTGTAGATCGGTAACGAAGCGTTTGCGGACCTATGTTTGTATGAATTTTTAGTTATGAAATAAGCCAAGAATTATGCCTTTCCGTATGTACCTGATATTTAGGAACACCCTGTATATAGATATTGGGATCGATCCACCCATAAATATAAGAATCATATCTTTTATTTTTTCTATAATATATATTTTGTAGAATAATCATATATAGAAAAATTAAATTGATTATATTTAACACTATAATACATAACCAATGACAATGACGTCTCGTGGTATTTTAAGGACGCTTCTGTTTCGTGAAATTTAGATGCATAATTTCCAAGGAAACAACAAAATCTTCTCAAAAAATTATCACCTCATGTAGTATTTTTTATAATCCTTGAAAATTGTGTACCAACATATACCACAAATTTAGTGGTCTAGTCGTTCCGCTGAGACCGTAATTCTAATAATTTTGAAGAGTGGGAAACTGGTCGTAACAATTGATTGATAAACTCCCCCATTTTACAAAAAATATAAAAATATAATCAAAAAATTGTTCGCCCTCCGCCACTGGAGAAAATATTGATCAGTTTTAGTAACTTTCTTGGTAACGTTGGTACTAAATATTAACCAAATACAAAACAATTCTTTCAACGTCAAAAAAATGGTGGACATTGTGGTGGTTTGATGTGAATAAATATTGTTTTAGTATTTTATTAATTTACTAAGTAATCTTACTAATGATCTGTTGGTAAATTTATCTACAACTTAGTATGTCTGTTCAAAGAATCTGTAACATAAATTACATATTATTTGTATTGTCAATATTATAAAGGTTTTGTCGGCATTGTATTGTATTTCACCGCGTTCTTTTTCAAACATCAAGATGTTGTCCATAGGGCCTAAAATGGACGGGGGGCCAAATGTGAAGTATTTCGAGTCCCCCGAAACGCTTACTGCTCTGGAAGGTGTCAAGCAATGGTTACAGAAAAACGGCAAAAAGGTAACTTAACTTTTCACATTCACACCAGTTTCACAATGATTCTAGGTAGCCACAAATACTTATTACCATTTTCACAAGATTTTTGTAATAAATTTTTGACTCTTAAGTCTCTTTAAGCCACTGTATATTAAAAAGAATCGAGAAAATGTTAATAAGTAGCCTATTTGAACCTGTGTTTACATAATTGTTTGGTGCATTAAAACTTGTTTTGCAGTACGTACAGAATGAGTCTTTAACAAATAAGACATTGTCAACGACTACTGTACAATTCATGCAGTTTCAAGAAGATTTTCTTGGAAAGAATACACAGAAACCACCTATGACTCGAATACCTGTAAGTGAATAGAACATTTTGAATTCATTGTTTTTATCGATTACTATATTTTAGGTGAAATTTTTTTTGGATTTAAAATCAGGAGGCGGATTGTGTCAAATGCTGTTAGCAGCCTATAAATTTAAAAGTGAACATAACTGGAGAAGATTTGAGTTACCTTCTGGAAAGGTAAGATTTAGCATTAACAGTAGCACATTTTTATTTCCACTTGGGGAAAACTGTCCCGGTTCAAATTTTCATAAATTAAATATGTATTATATATTTCATTTGTCTTTTCAATCATTTATTTAAGTATTTTTAATATTACATTTTTAAAACAAGTAAAATGCTACTGTAGTACTTTACATTTAATGGAACACTGAGTCAATATCAATTTTAAAAAAGCCATTGGATAGACATATTTTTATTCATTATTTCCCTTTTCAGAATGTCTCAAAACTGGAGAAAGTATATGAAATGTTCCAAAACATGGAAAAGGCTCTCATAAGTGCAAAATTATACACACTCCCTATAATATTTATTAAACCAGAAGTGGAAAAAGGAGTGGCCCAAAAAGTGAAGGAAATAGTAAGAAGGAGAAATGGCCAAATAGTAGAAACAGAAGAAACTGCAACCCACATTATATATGGTTCAGTGGATCCTTTAAAAGATGAATATGGTAGGCCGGTATCCAAACGGGAAAAGATGGTTATGATGCACTGGTATTACTTTCCAAATTCATTTGATACATGGGTTAACCTAGAGAGTGCAGGTTTGGAAGGACTATCAGTTGAAAGCAATCCTAGCCCTCACTCGGGACCTTGGAGAATAAGTTGTACTTGGGTATATGAAACAGATCAATATAATGAATGGATGTCTGAAGAAGATTATGAAGTAGATGAAGCTGGTGTCAAGAAAGTCCATCCTAAACTGATGTCTGTTGAAGATCTTATGAATCCATCTGAAGACAGGAACAAAAAGAACAAAGGGGGAAAGCGGAAAAGGTCCCCATCACCACCATCTAAAGTAGGCAAGAGAAAAAGTGGCAGAAGCCCAGCCATTGGGAAGAAAACTAGACCTGAAGATCCTGAATCAGAAGATCTAACAAAAGACATGGAGGAACCAATACCAGAACCAAATATAGTAGAAGTTAATCCTAATTCCCAACCCAGCACCCAACCTGTTAAGAAAGACCATGAATTGCAACCACTAAAAGGAGGTTCCATCACTGATCTAGAAGATACTGAAGAAAGAGGTGAAGATTCTCAGACTGGCAAAAACAGTGATAGCAACACTCAAGATGATGGCCAGGAGGATAATGTTACAGAACAAACTCATCATATTATCATACCTTCTTACTCAGCTTGGTTTGATTATAACTCTATACATGAAGTTGAGAAAAGGGCAATGCCTGAGTTCTTCAATGGCAGGAACAAGTCGAAAACGCCAGAAATCTACTTAGGTTACAGGTAATTTATATTAACTACTCTTTATTATTTATTTGTAAGAAGTAGTAATGGAAAAATGTATGAATTCTCTGCTCCTAGTAAAAATTTAGATGTGCTACATTTGAGCTTTGGGTGCAGTACAATTTTTCTCACCAAGGTTATCAAACTATCCAGATCACTCTGTAAATTGTAAGAGTTATTCTCACTAATGCAATTTTTGTTGCAGGAACTTTATGGTAGACACTTACAGATTAAACCCAACTGAATACATAACAAGCACAGCTTGTAGACGTAATCTAGCTGGAGATGTATGTGCCATCATGAGAGTGCATGCCTTTTTAGAGCAATGGGGTCTTATCAACTACCAAGTTGATACTGATTCACGACCAACTGCCATGGGTCCACCTCCTACATCCCATTTTCATATACTATCAGATACTCCGTCAGGATTACAGCCTGTAAATCCACCTAAAACACCGCAACCTAGTGCAGCAAAGACTTTACTAGATCTAGATAAGGTCCAAGATGTCAAGAAGCCTGAGGGAGCTACTGAGATATCTAGTTTTGGCTTAAAATTAGATCAGTATGCCAAGAAACCTGCCGTGCTTCGTAATAAGAGTGCAGCTTCCTTGACCAGAGATTGGACTGAACAAGAAACTCTTCTGCTTCTAGAAGGTCTTGAGATGTACAAGGATGATTGGAATAAAGTGTGTGAACATGTAGGATCAAGGACCCAAGATGAATGCATCCTTCATTTCCTCAGGTTGCCTATTGAAGATCCTTATTTAGAAGATCCTGAAGCTGGTGGTGCTTTAGGACCTTTAGCTTACCAGCCAATTCCTTTCAGCAAAGCTGGTAATCCAATAATGTCCACAGTTGCCTTTTTAGCCTCTATTGTTGATCCGAGAGTTGCAGCTGCTGCAGCCAAATCTGCCATGCTTGAATTCGCCAGCATTAAGGATGAAGTACCAGCTTCTGTAATGGATGCACATTTGAAGAATGTTGAAGCTTCAAACGCCGATGGGAAATATGATCCTGCTGCAAACCTTGCTCTCACTGGTATTGCTGGAACTGTACCTGACAAGGAAGAGGAGGATAAGATCAAGAAAGAGGATGTCAAAGAGGAAGATAAAGGTGCTGAAGAGAAAAAGAATGGTGACAGTCAGGATGATAAAAGTAGTGACAAGGTCAAATCTGAAACTTCTGATAGTGAGAAGGAGGATAAAATGGATACATCAGAAGGTAAAACGGAAAAGGTTGTTAAAGATAGCGAGATGCAGAGTGCAGCAGCGGCCGCATTAGCAGCTGCTGCTGTTAAAGCAAAGCATTTAGCAGCTGTGGAGGAAAGAAAAATCAAGTCTCTTGTAGCTCTGTTAGTGGAAACGCAGATGAAGAAGTTAGAAATAAAGCTGCGACATTTTGAAGAATTGGAAACGACAATGGAAAGGGAGAGAGAAGGACTAGAATATCAAAGGCAGCAGTTGATAACTGAGAGGCAACAATTCCATTTGGAGCAGCTGAAAGCTGCGGAATTCAGAGCACGACAACAGGCGCATCAAAGACTTCAAGCTGAGCAGGGCCAATGGGCTTCTCAACAACCACAAGCTGCACACTCTGCTCCACCATCAGAAACAGGTCCAAGTACCACCCCGACGCCCCCTTCCCCGCAAGCAGCGGCTGTAGCATCGCCGCAGGCCACACCTCACATCCACATATAGTCGAAGATAATTGAATTAAAAAGTTTTTATGATTATGGAATCAATGACAATTTGTAACAAGTAGGTGGTGCAAGCGATTTTGAAGAAAATCCTATTTCCATATAGATGGAATTTAAAATATCAAGTTTGCTACTAAATATCATTTACTGCTTAAACTAATTTTAGGGAGTAATTATGCAAGTAATTGTTATATTTGATGGTATTATTTATTATATTCTTAATAATTTATTTAAACCACATTATAAACTTTTTTCTCCTATATTCATCTTTATATAAATGTTTTCATGGCGGTTTGGTATTCCGATGTTGACCTTATTTTTTTAACTTTATAATTGACAGTTTTATTTTATTGATTCTTTGATATTTTGCATGTAAAAATTGGCAAGTAAATGCGATATGTTAACTTTTGTAGACTGTTATTTTTTTATACTTTACTTTTATATGCAAAATATAGTTATTATAATAGAATTATATTATGGTATTTTTATACAATATTGTAGTATTTGATATTTAGTAACATATCGTACCTACCTTTAGAAATAAAATATTTCCTAAACTTTGTCTTTTTTTTACAATTCTATTGAACTGTTAACTTTTTATTTAATTGTCCTTGATTGCACTGTCAAGTCAAATACATGGTAAGTTGTTAAAGACACAATTTAAGTATAAATTATCCGAATCTGACAGTGGTAAGCAATGACTTATATGTTTAAATATACATTTCACTGGTGGTAAGGTCCATTTTTACTTTCCTATCTGTATACAGATATAAGCAAAGCATAGGAATCATGATTTTTTTCGACGGATTTTTACGTTTTGGGGTCCCCTGAATCCGTTTTGACTATTTTCGGGATGATGTGTGTCTGTATCCACCATAACTCATGAACCGATACAAAGAAAATCACCAAATTTTAAACTTAAGCTTTATTCCGCCGTCCAATGAAGTGATTAGATTTTGGGCACAGTCGGAACATCTGGGGGGGGTACTTTATAGGTGGTCATTTTTATATTTTATGGAATATATCTGTTATTTACGTTTGAAGAAGAAAATTCTTCAAATAAAAGTTACTTACAATATTATCAATATTTTTTGTTCTATACAAAATTTTCCTAAAATGGTCCGTATTCGAGAAATTTGACAAAAATTTTTTATAAAAATTGTTCAAATAAAAGTTGTTTGCAATATAATTTCTCTAAAATGGGACCATATTCGAGATATTTGAGAAAATGTGTAAATTTTGAAGAAAACTCAATGGATAAACGAAAAAACATTAAATTTTAAACTTAATTTTTATTTTGACCTGACGTGAATGGGGGGGTACTTTATGAGAGGCCGTTTTTATATTCTATGGAATATATGTTATTTATGTTATGAGAAGAAAATTGTTCTAATAAAAGTTACTTCTAATATTATTATCTATAATTTTCGTTTTATGTAAAATTTTCCTGAAATGGGCCATATTCGAGAAATTTGACAAAATGTGCAAAATTCTGATTTTTAAGAAAATTTTTAAAAAGTTTGCGATATCGATCTATAATTTTTGTTTATACATGATTTTTCTAAAATGGACCGTAATGGAAAAATTGGAGGAAAAGTGCTAAATTTAAATTTTTCAGTATTTTCGTTTTCAATGAATATAGAAAAATGTTTCGGGTGTAGATGTATGTATATATTTAGTTTTTCCTCTAAACATTTATAGAGGTGCTGCAATAAGTTGTACAAAATAACCGGAAAAAGCCTATAATAACTAGATAGGAAAGTCATGTGTTGGACACATCAGATTTTTAGTGTTTGAGTAGAGTGAAGAGGACACAGGACTAACGATATTGGACCTATAAGGGAGCCTTGAGGAAGGTCAGAATACACATATTTGTGTTAAAGAACACTCATTAACCATCCGTTAAAGACGCCTTTATTACTTCCCAGTACTGACAGGTTATGCTACCTTTAGTAAATTAAAGGTTACTAATAATTCGATGTCCGGTTTGTGGTGCAGTAGACACAAAAAAAATTCATTATGATTTTAAATGGGGTAATCAAACTTTTCAAAGGTAAATTAACGGATGACATGTAAAGAACGCTGTAATTTGAGAATTTAATAAACCGAAATTGAATTTTAAAAATAAATACAAATTATGGGCATTTGCGCAAAAGTAGTTCACGTCCGTACATAAAAAGAATTTGAGAAATTAATTGTATTACTAGTGCGAGCTTGTATGCTGTTACAAAATTAATGCAGCATTGCCAAATCAAAATATTTTGGAGCAATACGAAAGCGTATTCAAATGTAGTAACTGCATACTGCATCAAAATGACGAAAATGATAACGAAATATATAGTTAGGTGTAGTTTTACAATTTATTAAAGAAAATGAATACCAAACATATATTCAAATTCCTTCATTTGAAAGAAAAACCTAGATAAACTCAATATTGTTGTCTATATTTATATATTATTTACGATGTTTACAATCAACCAAAGATAAGATAAAGATTCACCCATACCATTTCGACTCGAAAATTTTGGTAGTGATTTGTCTAACCAACATACATAGGAGAGTCAGAAAAAGTTGAGTAGACATCACACCAAATTCTGGACCGGGTGTTTAAGACGCCATTTTCCAAAATGGCTGACACTGAATTTTTTTCATATATATTTCTGCTCCTGTGTGACAATCATACTCATATAATTTAGGTGTCTAAATATAGGTATGTTTTTACGGACAAGGAATCGATTAACATAGTTGTGAAGTTACCTGACTTTTATTTATTAAAGAAAATCAGTACTCTAAAAGTTTTACAAGAAGTAATTCGCAATTTAAAAACTGACCTATCCATACTGTAATATTTATGCAAATACATCTTAAAAACTGGGATGTTAATTTCTTAAAGATATATGGTATTGCCACATGAATTTCTGTCCGGGTGAATAAACATCAGGTGCACCCACTGGATTTGTCGTTTTTGATCCAGTAGGTCTTTAATGAACTTGGACGACGGTTCCTTGATGAACTCTTTCGCCTATCCCAATCCTGGATAGTTATTCCACCATTCCTGCTGAGACTCTTTTTGCATCTATTGTTTGATAAATGCCTTAGAAGGGTTCGGGGCATGTCATGACCTTATCTGAACCTTCTTGGGTTAATTCGTCGGCCTTTTCATTGCTCTGATATCCTTCGTGGCCTGGTATCCAGGCTAAGGTTACTTTGTTTTGTTTGAGTATTTATTATTAGCTCTTCTATAGGCAGTGTTTCACCAGTCGTGATTTGATTTTTGGTAAAAGAATTGCCTTAAAAAATTAGTAAATGGCACTTTACTAGGGCCCACATTCATAAAAGCCGCCATTTCTTTGAATTATTACTAATTTGCAGCCGCCGAAGTTCCTCATAGATCAACTTCACGAAAAACTTAAGTAAAATAGTAATACCCAGACAGCACAAAAATATTGCACGAATATTCAATGCATATCTCAATTGCATACTCCTATATTCCATGGATATGCCATATTCGCTATGGTATATGATAGGAAGATTGCAGGAATATTTAAGGTCACCATGAGACATATGCCCACGATATGTTTTTATGAGGATATTTTTGTATGCCTATATTCATGGTATTTTGAATATTCATAGCATATTGATTTTTTTTGTAATGTGTAGTACCATAGTTTAGGAAATAAAACTCATACTTAAGTAAATATAAATTTCTAATACAAAATAAATTTTATTTGAAAATTTTAAAAATAAAGCAAATATTCTAAATATAAAAACAATACATACATAACTATAAATTTAAATTTATTTGCTGAGATTCTTGACGTACTTTTTTCCTAAAAAATTATATATAAAATATGTATATAAATATGAGATATTTGTAAATTATTCAAATTTACATTTGAAGCTTTTAATAATGTTAAAATTAAGACGAAAACATCAATATAATAGAAATATTTCAAAATCTTGAGACAAACATTACAGTAGTACTTACTTCTATATTTGGATCACTTTAGTTATAGTAATGGCTTCCTCTATATTTTCCTTTGCCGTTTGTGTACTGTGGGTTTTCCTAAACAGCTCTAAATATTGTTATATTGATATTATTAGTAATAAAAGGTAATCATATTAGCATTAGATGTCTGAACTAATATTATCCTTTAGATGGAGAGATGTTGAAATAAACTCAGATCTTGAATTTTACTCGAGTTTTTTTCCTGGTGAAAAGAATTACGTTCCTGTGAAGCTAATGCTCTATCATTATTTGAGAATAAAAGAGACTCTTCCACCAATTGATTGACACTTCTGGAATATATTTCTAGAATGTAGATTAAGAAATATATTCTGTGAATATTTCATAAATATAGTAATATATGCATATGCCAGGGATATATTATATAGTGATGTCTGGGTAAGCATCCCATTTGAAGGATATACTATGATATTAAGGAGTAATAAATACATCATACTTCTAAGGCGAAGGTACATAAGAGTAAACTACAATATACTGCTTGAACGAAGTAAATGCTACATTTTGTTGTAGTAGATACTCCAAGTTCCACGTGCGAAGAAGATACTACATGTTATGCATACCAGCCATCACCTATACTAAACAATGCGCATTTAAATGTTATTTCTAGCTGTAAATGTTTTTATTCAAATCAAAATGAACAAGAATAAAAAGGTGAAAACTGCAGGATAAAATACGAGTATTCTAGATTTCATTAAAAGATGATATTTTTAAATTTTGCATGCTTTAATACTAAAATAATATTGTAGCCAGTTATGTACATTTTTTGTTTCAATCTTTAATACAAATTGTCGTATAATATTTTATTTTTAATACAAGCTGGCAACATTTAGTGACGTAGTGCTCGCGCCTCTAGAATGATTAACGTATGTAGGAACATCATCTATCATCCACCATTTGCGATTATTCTAACATGGCCGCATGTTAGTTGCTGATTTTTCTTTATTGTTTGCCAACGTTTGTTAAAGATTTAGTAGTGGTGTTTGTTTGAAAATTAAAGTTTGATAAATCACAGAAAAGTAGATATATGTAGTGGCAGAGACAGGCATTTACACCTAATAATTTGGATAAGTTGTACCGGTCTTCGTCTTGTTGATCTACTCCTCCCCATTGAGGTATTTAGATTGTCAAATTAAATAGGTATTTCTGATTTCGTATTTTTGATCATTTCGAATTAAAAATGTTGCAAGAACATCATCATATGTCTCAGAACGGAATGCAAAGAAATGCCAGGTAAGGACATTTTTTTTTTTTATGTAAATATTGGCGCTAATTTCTTGTAATCATCTCATCATTTGACTTTTACATTTTGTCTTAAAATCTCTTTTACATTGTTTTAGAATGGGAATGCAACAAATGGGGCCACCCCCTAACCAAAGAACACCGATGTTAATGAGTATGCCAGCACCTGGTAAGTTTTCATACATTTATATAAATAAATAAAAATAGGATACTAGCTTACCTACTTTTTTTTTATTCTTAGAATTCCATAATATGTAAGCAATGACAGTATGAGGCCCTATTTTGGTTTACAATTTATTCAAAATTCAATTAATATATAATACATCAATCAATAATAATACAAACAACTCTACAAAGTCCTAATAATTAAATTTTTCAGGTATATACCTATAGGTACTTAGAATTTCATGCTTTGGAATTATAATGCTTTATTCATCTCTGTTATTGAGTTAATGTTACATTTTTAAACCATTTTTGACAATTTATTGTAATAAAAATGTATTTAAATCTTATTTTAAATTATGCCTATTTTGATAACTTGATGCAGTGATTTTTCGGTCATTGTCTAGTTTGAGCTCCTTTCGCGTATGAAAAAACTATACTATACTTGTAGGTATCACTATTGTAAACAAAAAAATCTTAGTCCCAAATCTTGTGCAAATTAATAATAATGACACAATTATTTTTTTAAATAAAAATATTTCACAAATTATCTCAAGTTAAAGCTCAGAGATGCTACACAAAAAGTTTTTGATTGAATTATTTAGTATCAAAAGTACAGCAATTCATTTCTAATAATGGCATATTTTTATTTAAAAAAAATATGTGTCATTATTCATTTGCACAAGATATGAAGCTTAGGTTTTTGTTTACAATAGCAATATCTATGCTTAGTTTTTCCATAATCAAAAAGAGGTCAGTTAAAATTACTAGATTTGAAAATATAACAATTAGGACTTTTAATTGACATGTACCAGAACTTCTCCAAGGAATAAGAATTGAAATTACCAATATATTGATACATTAAAAATGTCTGGAATCCAATCAATACTATAAAAGATTATAATATAAAATGCATGTCCATTATATTTTAATATGTTTCATCAGGTGTAAATCAGTTAATGTCTTCAAAGACTTACATCTTTGAACACCACAGTAACATAGTTACAAATAGCTTCTGGGTAAAAAAGAAAAAACAAGATGTAATTTAAAAAAAATGAAGTATCAAACGTGAATAAACATTAATAATTCAAAACTGAATAAATTTTTCAAGTATGGGTTAATATTCCATTCTATACAGTCAAGAACCTAGTGTAGACCATTTAATTTTGAATCAGTACTTGAATTGTTTAGATATTGAATATATTTAAAGTTACCTACAGTGCAACTAAAAATTGAATTCTGGGAGATGATGCATAAAATAATTTTTCTTGTTAAAAAGGTGTTCTGGTCTCAATGTCCCCTGGACCTGGGCCAACACTGATCACAACAACATCGATTCCTCAACAGCCACAACCCAAGAACATGCAACAAGTCTACCATTATGAAAACACTGGCCAGCCAGAAGCAGATCAACACAGTACAGAACATCAAAACACTAATACTTTGTCTACGCCCAATGCTACTTTGGCAAACATAAAAGAAAAAACACCAATGTGTTTGGTAAATGAATTAGGTAAGTCTAAAAAGGTTTCTTTCCTCTCTTTATTTTATCACTACTTGAAATTCCCTTTAATTATTACAGGCATCATTTTCTTTTTACCAATTTCTTCAAACCTTAATTGAATAAATAAACCCATTTATTGATGCATAAGATTTTATGATCTCACAAAAGTCAAAACAAGTTAATACATATTAGATCAATGGACAGTTATGGTACTTAGTGGGTAAAATGAACTTCTATAACAGGAGCAAAGTATGTACACTGCAGTCACCATTCCACACATGCATGCTTTTTACCTACATCTATTGGTTACTCATTATGAAATGTGCTCTGTAATTTATTTTCTGAATGTAGGTGTGAAAGTGGACGAAATTAGTGAAGTATATGGAGAAAACAGTATGAGCAATGGAATGGTTATAAAATGAATTATAGTGGAGTCGATAGAGGTTTTCAATTTTGAAAAATTCCTGGAAGTGATCTATTTCTCACAACACTAATCTGATGAGCTGGCTAGAATCATACCAATCAGACCATCAACAATACGTCGCATATAGATAAAACTACATCTGGTGTCCCACAGGGATCTAACCTTGGTCCTATCTCCTCTAATTACCTATTATATGCTGATGATTTGAAAATATTCAGATCTTCATTTAAATGATCTGCACTATTCAGGTTGAGCTCTATTTTAGGCATGTTCATAGATTATTATAATAATATAATTACAGCTACTCAAACAATATAGTTTACATTTTCTTATATTTACATTATAGGAGTTGATTTTACTTTTTTATTTAATTTTTTTTATACAGACAAAGCACACTAATGGCACTATTGTTTTTGTTTTTATAAATATATAATATATATATATATATAGACCTATACCTTCACAAAATATTGAAAAAATCAAATTTTATCAGTAAATTGACTAAATGTTGATGTTTCTACAATTTTGATCTTGTTTAAAATAATATATTCCCGTAGTACAGGGGCTAGGAGTCAAATTATAATATCTGAATAATAGAAAAAATCTGATGTGCCCAACACATGACTTTCCTATCTAGTTATTATAGGCTTTTTCCGGTTATTTTGTACAACCTATTGCAGCACCTCTATAAATGTTTAGAGGATAAACTAAATATATACATTTTCCACATACATCTACCTTGAAACATTTTTCTATAAATATTCACTGAAAACGAAAATACTGAAAATTTTTTTAGCACTTTTCCTACAATTTTTCCATTACGGTTCATTTTAGAAAAATCATTTATAAACAAAAATTATAGAGATCGATATCGCAAACAACTTTTAGTTCAACATTTTCATAAAAATCAGAATTTTGCACATTTTGTCAAATTTCTCGAATACGGACCATTTCAGGAAATTTTTACAAAGCAAAAATTATAGATAATAATATTACAAACAACTTTTATTTGAACAATTTTTATAAAAAATTATTTTTTTACATTTTGTCAAATTTCTCGAATACGGACCATTTTAGGAAAATTTTGTTTAGAACAAAAATTATAGATAATAACATTAGAAGTAACTTTTATTTGAAAAATTTTCTTCTCCAAACGTAAATAACAGATATATTCCATAAAATATAAAAATGACCAGTTATAAAGTACCTCCCAAATGTTCCGACTGTGCCCAAAATGTAATCATTTCATTGGACGCTGGAATAAAGCTTAAGTTTAAAATTTGGTGTTTTTCTGTGTATCGGTTCATGAGTTATGATGGATACAGACACACACACACACACAGACATCATCGCGAAAATAGTCAAAACGGATTCAGGGGACCTCAAAACGTAAAAATCCGTCGAAAACTCGAGGTCGAAAAAAATCATGATTCCTATACTTTCCTTATATCTGTATACAGATAGGAAAGTAAAAATTAGAAAGTAAAAGAACATCTGCACATCAAACAGTATGCTGTCTTATTAGGTCTGTTCTAACACTCGAAATCCGTAATATTACCATACAAATCATGCGCTTTTTATAATTTTTAGGTAGAGTGCACGATTTGTACGGTAATATTTTACGGTTTTCGCGCGTGTTGGAACAAACCTATAATTTCCAAGCAGAAACCTGGACCTGGCAAGGAGAGGATAGGGTATGACTTCCATTCATCATCATTATTATTATTATTATTAATTGCAATGACTCGGGCTGCTACAGATGATTTTTTACAGATTCAAAACTAGTTGAGTCAATCAGAGTGGTTGCAGGAAAGCCAGCATGTCATTGCATTGTAACCTGCTCTCTTTATGTCTGATCTGATTGTACAAACCGTAAAATAATTTTGGAACCAGAGCAGGAGCAAAAAGTGCAGGTCAAACTTCAACTGAAATCAATATTTATAAATGTGAAGTGTCCAGTTATTACAGGCTTTTTCCGGTTATTTTGTACAACCTTTTGTATCACCCCTGTAAATGTTTATAGGATACATACATTTTCCACACACATATTACTTGAAACATTTTTTTATATACATATATTCAGTGCCAACGAAAATACTAAAACATTAAATTTTTACACTTTTCCATTTTAGAGAAATCATGTATAAAATAAAAATTATGTAATGATATTGCAAACAACTTTTATTTAAACAATTTTTTCGAATACCATTTTAGGAAAATTATGTATAGGAGAATATAGAGAATAACATTACAAGTATTTTTTGTTTGAAGAATGTTCTTCTCCAAGCGCAAATAACATATATTCCATAAAGTAGAAAAACGACCCTATATAAGGTACCCCCAAATGTTCCGATTGTGCCCAAAATTCCATCATTTCACCGCACGATGGATAAATCTTAAAATTCAAAATTTGGGCTTTTTCTCAAAAATCTCAAATACGGCCCATTTTAAAGAAATTATGTATGGGCAAGAATTATGGAGAATGACATCACAAACAACTTTTATTTGAACAATTTTCTTAGAAATTCGAATTTTTTACTTTTTGTCAAATTTCTCCAATACGGACCATTTTAGGAAAATTTATTATAGAAAAAAATATATGTAACTTTCATTTGAAGAATTTTCTTCTCCGACCGTACATAACAGATATATTCCATAAAATAGAAAAACGGACCTCTATAAAGTATCCCCTCAGATTTTCCGACTATGCCCAGAATATAATCAGTTCACCGCAGGATGAATTAAAGCTTAAGTGTAGAATTTGGTGTTTTTCTCTGTATCCGTTCATGAGTTATGGAGTATACAGACACACACAGACATCATCGCGAAAATAGTCAAAACGGATTCAGGCGACCTCAAAACGTAAACAAGTCGAAAACTCGAGGTCGAAAAAAATCATGTATACAGACAGGAAAGTAAAAATGAATTTATATACCTAGTTAAATATAATTATTTGAATATTTATTATGTTTAATAAAAATCTTTTATTTTGCATAACCATTTTTATTTTTATATCGAAATATATATAAATCTATAGGCATAGAAAAAATAGTTAAGTACCATTTTCTCTTCTATTTGTGAACCGATTTTCTTTTTTATTTTTTTTTTAATAGCTATTGACAAGCTTTAGTGTTATCAATAAAAAAAATGAAAATAGTTCATATTTTTTTCCCAACCTTTGATATATGAATCCTTTAATTTACAATTGAGTTATGATTGAATAATAAAATTAGCCTATAGTAAACATGAGCACCCTTGAATAGAATAGAATTTATTCATCAATAAAGTATTTGTACATTTTTACAATGTTTAAAAAAAACTTATCAGACTAGTCAGCTCATACACAGTACTTCCATAGAAAAAACAAAAACACCATTCACACCGTCCAATTCATAGAAGTTTAAAATTCTAGAGCTAAGATAATATACAGAAAACTAACACAAAAGACAGTTAAAATTAACATTAGGTAAAATATATTTTAAGTTATAAAATTAATATGCTAGAAGTTCATCAACAGAGAAAAGGGCATTGCCTGCAAGAAACTGAAACAGCATAAATTTGAATTTTTTAAAGTTTTCTATATTGCCTAAAATTCTAACACAATGGTTAAACAAGACGGCTCCTTGATAATACGGACAATATTACAGGGACAGATAGAGGATTGCCAAAAACGGAAAAAAAAAATACTTCTCCCCCCGCCTCTCCAACTTTTGTACTTACACTAATATCCATGGTACATTTTGTTTATATAAAAAATGTCTCGAAATTCTAGTCTACATAAAAGGAAGTTTTGCTTGTCAACAGACAAGCTATTGGTTGTCCGATGAACGTTTTGGCATTAGCTGAAGCAATGCTTGAAAAGAAAAATCTTTTTAGGCAGTGTGAATATAAGGACATAATATTTTGAGTTACGTCATGCACGTAGTGATTTAAAGCTTAGTTTATGTGACTTTTCACATATATGCTTACTAAGTGGACACAGCATTTTTTTTTCATTTTGCATAATGTACCACACATACCATAACTGTCATTTAATCTACAAACGTTAGGTCACTAAACTACCCTCAACAAGAGCGTTTTCTCTTTAAAGCAAGATACAACAAAATCCAACATCAATACAGACTCACTGGGGAACAGGGACCCGCCCACAAGAAAATATTCACAGTTACCTTGAAACTGGGTAATGAGGAATACGAAGCTGAGGGGCCTAGTATTAAGAAAGCACAGCACTCGGCCGCTGCACAAGCCTTGTCTAAAACCGAATTCAAACATCCGCCACCAAAGACAGTAAGAAATCGCCCTGGTACACGTCCCACGAATCCAGGAGTGGTTACCCCCACTGTTGAGCTTAATGCTCTTGCTATGAAGAGAGGAGAACGTACTGTTTATGTTGTCGAAAATGGAGGTGCACCTCCACATCAGGTAAGCATTATTTAGTTCATTAGGTACTCATTTTTTTTCATTGAAAGTATCACGCATTTGTTTTTATATGAAGCAAAAAATTCTCATTCCAAAATTGAGAAAATGGGGAATTCTATGAAAAAACAAGAAAAGTAATTAAAAAGCTCGAAAATATAATATTAAATTTTTTTCTTTTAAAAATAAGGGAGCGTTCAAGTATTACGTAACGAATTTGGGAAGGAGGGGGGTTTTTGTAAAACGTTACGATGCGTTACAGGGGCGGGAGGGGGAGTTGAACTTCCCGTTACGTAACATTATTTTTTAACCCTTCAGAAAAGTCGCGTATTTTAGCGACTTTCCGGTACTTTACGCCACATAACTGTGATTTTTAGATAAAAATAGTCACTTGGTAGTTACGTAACGTTTTACTAGGGGGGGAGGGGTACAGAAAAACGTTGCGGAGCATTACATGGGGGGAGGGGGGTTAAAAATCTCCAAAAATTGCGTTACGTAATACTTGAACGCTCCCTAAGTTACGTAAAATCGAGAAACAGAAATTTAAAAGTCTGTTCTGTTTCTATTTTGATATGTAGCAACGATATGATATAAGTTTATTTCTTAGAATTTAATCCATTCCAGTATTACCATTCTGTTCAGAGAAATGAAGGGCAAATAGCATATAACCTATAATTATATTAGATCACTTGTTTTAATAAACTCTTACAGCATAATTGCCAAAACAAGTGCCTAACCTTAAATTGGACCCTTTTTGTAGATTAATATTTAACGATTATGGTCCAATAATCAGTAGTATTTGCTACAAAAAGTCAGGTAAGCCAATCAAGTTCCTAGAAATAACGAGTTTCCAGTCTAGGCCAACATTGCCATATACCTATATAAAACTAGAAACGTAACTATTTGAAACACGTGTCCCTAAAAAATGTTTTCTATCATTTTATGAAGTAAACAAAATTGAATTCCCCATTGTATATGGCAGAATTTTTTAAATGATAGTTTAAATCAAATTAAAAATAACTAATTTTAGAGTAGTTAGTTTAGCCATTTACTTATGCCTGACCTGAGGTGCAATATTTGTTGGTTCCTGATATTATTCTTTGTGAAAAAAATGACGTATGTTATACAAGGTGCTCGTTAATTATGAGAGGATCAGTTAAGTTAAATAAATGATTTTAAAAACGGTATGCATTGAAATATCATGAGCTAAAATATTAAAAACTGCCACAGTTACAGATTTCTCTGTAAATTGTGCTTTTAAAATAGGGAGAAATATAATATATGTTCTGTCTTCATTTTTTGTGTGTACATTGTTCATTTTTATATCAGAGATACTAAGTTACCATATCTCATAGATAATTCAAACTAAATGCTTCATAGAGATTTAGAATCATGTGGTTACTATTTTAAAAATGATAATAGATCATTCTGAATATAATATTTTGTTTTACCAACTGAAACTGATTTTTTTAATACTCTAATGTATTTGTTCTTATGTAGGATTATATATTATTTTCCAATTTATTTCTAATTAATTTCTCATAAGCACCTTATTTACTAGTCTTATTAACTTTGAGATATCTTTATACACATTTTTAAGCCTTTTCCTTTGTAAAATGAGACTAACCCAACATCTCCTGGCTTGGAGGATTAGCAACGGGTCGAATGGGGCCTAAATACAGTGGAGCAAAGCCAACCCAACTAATTTTCCCTATTATTTTAATAGGGTACCGTCATTTCAGGCTACTTGGGATAAAACTTTTGAAATTGCTTTAAATTGTATTTCAAAGGACTCTCCACCAACTGAAATTATTCTATACCAAGACATCTAGAAACTGTTCCAGGTAGTATTTGAACCGTCGACCAAGATGTTAGGTGATTTTTTGCGATCAAATGTATTTTTCATTTTTGGTTTTTACTTTTAATAGATTACTATTTTAACGCCCGACTTTGATTTGGGCATTCACGTGAAGATAACGTGGCGATTTGCGCTTTAGGTGGGTGGTAAAGCGTAGATTAGAGAATCTACTTGAGTTGACTACTTCTGCATGATGAGCTCCAAACAAGGCGAAATCGGTGGTGGAATGTTGGCTCCTTAAATGCCAAATCGTATCGAAAAAGTTGGTCGCGATCACCTTTTATAACACTGTCATCCAGTGTTCAGTTGAGTTGAGTAGTTTTTTTTTATAAAAATAGTTATTAGATGTTTTTTGCCATTTTTGATGTTTGTTTATTTGATATTATTATTTAGAAAATACCTACAATTAAGTTTTTAACATTATAGTTTGCAAAGGTCGCAATACTTTTTTAAAAGATCCCTTTGAGTCTCAAAGTTAACTTATTGGTGTTAAGCCTGAGCAGTAAATCTAAAAACGTTGTTATCTCAAGTAACCCAGAAATGTGTATGAAAACTTATGTCTGAGTGAAATTTAATTGAGAATATTCTTTTGGAAAAGTTAAAACGTCTCAAGCTAGCCGAAATGACGGTATTTGGTTGTTTGTTCCATGTATATCAGATTATTCGATTTTTACAAATACTGAGTGTTGAAAGAACCGGTTTAATAAGGGATATAACTTCATAGTTATGTATATGTTGGTTTAAATCTCGACGGAGCATATTTTGTTATTATCAATTAAACAATTGTTTCTGGAAAGGAAATATATTTCTCCTTAGGGTTTCATAACTCAACCAGGATACTATCCTCGTCATAACCTCTACAATGCTCAGACGCAGCCTCAGAGGTACGGGTATGACGCACGTCGGAACGTAAGAGGACATTACCCGTACCATGAAAATAGGTACTATGGACAATTCAGACCTGGCGCACCGCACAACCCTGGAGACCCATATACAGTGCGCTTACGAGTGGGGGAGCGGGAATATCCCGGACAAGGGTATACCGTGCAAGCTGCCAGACATGATGCTGCCACTAAAGCCATCGAACATATTAAACAACTAGGTAAACACATTTATATTACTTTTATGGATGGTTTGAAACATGGATAATCGTTCACTTGCTGCTCGATTCAAATTCACGTAATGTTAAGAGTATATTAAAAACAAGAAAATAAACAGATTTATTGGAATCATACATTATAAATTTAATCCATGGTTAAAATCATAATGCGTTTTATATTTCGATTTACTTGTACCTAATTACTTACATAGAAAGAATAGTTAGGAAAAATTCTAGATTATACAGCTTGTAATCAATTTAGGTGATCCAGAACAAAACGATGGTTCAATATCGCCTGACAGCTCGCAACACATGTCCAATGATTCCATGCAACAAGGAAGTGTTGGGGACATTAATTCTGATCTGAAATCTCCTATCTCGCTCGTATACGAAATAGCCTTAAAGAGAAACTTAAGTGTGATTTTCGAAGTTCTCAGCGAAAAAGTAAGTTTTTTTAATATATTTTTCCTGGTTCGAAATTTGAATAAATAAAAATGTAGGAATAGGTGAACACCTTTGCCATAAGCCCAATTGTAAGGATAAATATTTGCACAGAATAATAATTATACTTCTAATAGGGAATTTTCTTGTGAAAAGAAAATATTATAAAATTGAAAAAGAAAGTCATGTATTTACACTTTAAAATGATTTTTTTTTTCACTTTGATATGTAGCAACAGTGTGAAGTTGTTTCTAAGTATCTGTTGAATTTAAACAATTTAGTACTAAGCAATAGCAAGCAGCAAATGAAATATACTGATAGTTCTTAAACAAAACTTTTATATTCCTGTAAAATCCGCAATTAGATTAGATTATTTCTAAATTGTTTTTGTTTTTCATTTATAGTATAATTATCAAAACGATTTCCTAACATCAAAAGGTTTTTAAATTAGACCCTTTTCACATTATTACTATTTAATCATATCACAATAAGGCAGGTAATCCAATCATGTTCCCAGAAATAATGCCCTTTTATGTAATGGTAAAGTATATCGCTTCCCCAGAATAGTGACACATTAAAAAAATATCAGGGGTGATTTTCATTTTTGTTTTATTGTAAATTGATGTTTTAATAATCACATAACTATTTTTAAGAATGATACATGGAAACAGTATTTTAATGCTTACATACTGGCTTATTCCAAAATATATCTTTTTTTTTTTTTTTCTGAAAAACTGCTTTAGTTTTGACAACACTTTCCTACAAAACATAAGCTCACTTCTTTGATAATACCGATACCGATCAAATGAATTAATGACGATATTGTTGTTAAATCATGTTAAATTGCAATTTTTAACACGTCAAGTACAGTTTGGCATTTAACGGATGCCTCACTGCTTGTCTTTTTTTGAGACAGTGAGGCATCAATATGTTGCCACCCTTACCACAGTCAGAAAATAATCAAGGACCGCGTGGTTTCATAGTACGCCTCGCCATAATGCTACAAACATAGAAACTCGCTCTTAGCCGTCTATAGTAATAGAAAAGTTTAACGCCTTGAAAATAAAATTAAGCCAGAAAAAAAGAAATATTTGACAAAAACTTTAAAAAAAATTTGTTGAAACATAAAATATATAAATTAGGCTTTATCTAAGTAATAGGAGTTAACAAATTTCGCGTCCTCCGGCATGACTTTTTTCTTCACACCCATACTCAACCTGCTAGCACCATCTTTTGAATTTTTGTGAAATTGCAATATTATGACGTTATTCCTGTTTGAGTTAGTGTTTTGGTGTGAATTTTAAATTAAACTCAATCTTTTTTTGGATTGCGCCACTATTCTGGAGAAGAAGTGATATAGTTGCTTCATCATACATCTATTGTTGAAATTGCAAGCCGATAATGATTTTAACTTTCGTACGCAAAATCCCACAGCTTGTTTAGATCTCATTTTTCATACTACCCTTGATTAATTAAAGGGACCTCCACACATGAAGGTATTCATAACCCAGTGCCGCGTCGGAACCTTCTTAGCGGAGGGAGAGGGCAACGGCAAGAAAATATCAAAAAAACGGGCGGCCGAGAAGATGCTCGAAGAACTTTCGAAGCTACCCGCGCTTCCTAATGTCATCAACATAGCGCAGCTCAAAAGGAAGCGGGTCACGAACAAAAAGAAAACACGAAACCTAATCAAGGTCAATACAGACAAAACCACTGAGGTGGCCGAAGAGATCAACCCCATCTCGCGATTGATTCAAATACAGCAGGCCAATAAGGAAAGGGAACCAGTTTATACGGTTTTGGAGGAACGCGGTGCCCCTAGGCGCCGAGAATTTGTCATTGAGGCTGCTGTTAATGGACATTCTTGCACTGGAGTTGGGCCCAACAAAAAGGTAATGTGTAATCCACAACAATTAAAAAAACACTCATTCCAAATTTTGTTCCTGCAGGTAGCTAAACGTAACGCCGCCGAAGCCCTGCTGATCGAATTGGGTTACAACAATGCTCCGAACGGGAAGCAGCCTCTCGGCAAAGATAAGGACGATGCATCTGGCATGCATTCCGGCCTCGACAAGAATCGTAAAGTCACGTTTGTCGAAGAGGCCCAAGATAATCAACCAACCCAATCAGTTGGAGGCAGTGGTGGTCGCCAATTGGTCCCAGGAGTTCTGCTGGTCACGGAACAATCTGGTTTCCAAAAACAAAAGGACAATATGGACAAGCCCTTGCAGGCTCAACAGACCCAAATTAAACCTCCACCTACCATACAGGTAATCTATATAATCAATCACTATTTAGTAAGTACTAGAGAGCCATTTTTCTAACAGAATTTTGATATCTCAAAAACGGATTATTCAGTATATATTTCACTTTCCCCAAAGAATCTTGCAAGTCTTATAGCTAATAAATTGTTTACCTTTCCCATTTTTCAAGTCATTTTAAATGTCAAAGCTAGCTTAAATAATCCTAATACAGATATATTGTAATCATTAATGTTCCCATTCTTTTTTAATCTCTGATTTGTGATTTTTTGTCAATAGTAAGTCTTTTAATTCTGATGAGAACCAAATAGAAAAATTTGAACTATTTATTCATTTTAGAGTCTTAAAACATCTTATTGTATTTCTTAATATTTGATAAAAATGTTCAACAGCAAAGTCCAGATTATCAAGTGCAAGAAATAACTCACAAAGTAATTATTCAAACTGAAATTGTCAGTATTCTTAAAATCATAACATCGAATACTTTTAAGATGATTTATAATAGTACAAAATAAGGCATGATGACCAGTATTTGGTAGAAGTTAGTAATCAGCTAATTTTTCAATTACAAATTCAGGATTCTGTGAAAAAACCAAATCTAGCAAAATATTGTTTGAATTTTTAAAATGGTTTAACTGTAATATGGTAAGAGAAAAAAATTACAAATAGTACTGGCAAGGAGCTTTAAAAAAATCCATGATCTTGTGAGGTATATCATTTCAGGTATGAAGTACAGTTAGGGTAGGATTCCATAATAGGAAACACTTTGTGAATGAGCTTTATGAGTTTGAATTGAGGTATTTGGTGTAATATGAAAGTAAATGTCTAAATTATGGAAATCATCAGGTTACTTTTTGGCTAGACAATTGAATCAACATATTTATTTTGTAAGTCTTTTTCGTGTATTATTTTTCTTCTCCTTTTAGGGTGTACGCTCAAAGGACAAACTGCTCTACTTAGCCCAGTTGATGGCTATCCAAGTTCAGTTCTCTGATTTTCCGAAAGCTAATCATGAAATGTATTTGACTTTGGTATCATTGAGTACCAATCCACCTCAAGTGTGCCATGGCGAAGGTCCCACCACTGAAGCGTCGCACGAAAAAGCCGCTCTCGAAGCCCTCAAAGTGCTTTCCGAGTTGGGTCTCGACATCGCTCCCAAGGACGGCTCGTCTGGGCCCGCTGGCGATAAGTAAGTTCTACTTTTTTATGATCTTGATGGACCGTCACCTGGAATCTACGAATGCAATGCAAGATGCTACTTCATAAAAGATGTTTGTTTTTTTTTTGTTAACGTTAAGGAAATTTTCCCACGAGTGATGTACGTTATTTTTCCTACGACCATAAATACTTAAATAATAATCAATGAAATAAAAGATGAATTGTTTTGCGCATTGAATGTGAATAATAATTACTGCATGTAAGCAAACGTAGTTTCCAGCTTTGTATTATTCAGTACAAACAGTAATTATTAGTAAATAATTTTTCTTACACTAAGTAAAATTATTTAAAAATGCTTTTATAGTGTACATTTTAAACGAAAAGGAAAAACTACAAAGAGGTTTATTCATATAGTCTTCAACGATACTCGTATCTGACGTGATCTGGTAAAACAAGAAATTTAATGAGAGTAGCCATTATTATTGACATGAGAAGTTCGTTTATACGGCCTGGCCAACGTTACAATGCCGTCGGGTCGTATAAACAATGCAGATACTATTCTTTTCCTGTCCACTGCAATGATAACTCTCTGTAGTTTTCACATGCACTTGTGCAAAACATTGGAAAACGTTCAGTGGCAGACACCATATTTACTCGTGTTCTTTCACTTGTTTTCTATGTAATATTCATATGAAAATAAAGATTATTATTTTAAATACAAATCATTATAAAATGCTACATTCTTTTTTCTACTTGATATCAATTTAGAGTATTTAATATTGACCCAATTGTAGTATTGATTCCACGATTTTGAATTTTTTGAAGCATGTTTAATTAATAAAAAGATGCACAATAATTAAAATGTTGTTGAATTATGGTATTGTATACAGTGATCTTGATCTTGATAAATTCTGGGAAATTCTACTAAAAAATTTTTTAAGATACTTTTTTATAAATATAATTAGAGGCTATCGAAATTTAAATAATTGTGTATTTGAAATCTAAAATATTTGACATTAGAAACAACCTCAGTGTGTTCATTATTTGTTCAAATTTATATTAACATCGATAAAACATTTAAATTTCGTTGTGAAAACCATTACTTTTGTTTATTCATTCATTTTCTCTATGGCTTTTTCCAAATTTGCATCACTACAAGTTATTAAAGTATCATTAGCAAGAAGATTAATAATTTCACAATCCCAAAAGGTTAAATATCATTAATGTATAAAATAAAAATAAGAGGACCCAATAAGATACCTTAAGGTAATCTCCATATCATTATTTATGTCACAGGATATTTGGTCAGCAAAACAGACTTCGATTATTTAAAGGTACAAACCTTACTGATTTTTAGTGAATTTGGAATCCTGCCGGTATCAGGTGATGTATATTAATGTTACTTTTAGCTAACTGATGACACAAGATAAAAGTATTGTTGAAGACTGTATATTAACACTAGTGTGATTGATGTTATGTTTCTATCAACATTAGAGTATAGCTTTGTAAAGAGGTGGTCGTGGAAAAAAAGAAGCACTCTATACAATAAATCAAAATATTAATTGTATCCAATTTCCTTAATATATCTGGACGTTTTTAGTACGTATAGTAAATGTTTTTTGTTTCAGTGCGTCCCCAGTTGTGTCTAATAAGGCGTCAGTGCACCAAAATGGTGTGAAGAAGTAAACTTTGAACTCTGCGTAGGCTGTACCAATGGCCCCATTATAGAATTGCATCTCTCCTTTTAGTGACTGCTTTTTTCCGTCATTGGTACAGAACAGTTATACATGAGTTCCATGTGGCCATGTAAAAATTTGCATAATTTATATTTAAAAAAATAACTACGAATTATTGTTATTATTATTTCATGTGATTTCATTAACATATGATGTTATATGAAATGAATTCATGTATCTATGTATAATTCTGGTTATTGCTTCGGCACTGTATGTTCCCAATCAGTGCTCCTACCCATTTTCATTTTCGTGGGCAGAAAAAGAAATTGGGTGACAGTAGTTCAGAATTGGTTTTACAAAATTGTAAGTCGTGTATCTATATATACACGTTTAGGGTTCGAATAATGTCAGTGTTGCCAAACTGTTTTTAAGCATTTTTGATCGTCCAACTTCATTCAAACATACACCTTACGTCATTTGTCATTTATTGAATATCAAAACTTAATGTCGGCTATCGAAATGCACAGTCGGCGGCATATTCTATTTCTGTCTATTCAATAGTATTGTGTTTCCATACTGTTCTCCTAGAGTCAGTATTGGAAAGTTAGCGTACTGTTTGTAGAATAGAGCAGGGACAGAAGTTTGACATGCTCTTGATAGGTGGAAAGGTGGTAAATGTCGGAAGACTTCGAGAATTTCGCAGTGCCAGTGTCGTATCGTAAAATAAAAATAATACCATTGTTAAATTGTTATCGGCGGAATCGGATAATCATATCTATTTATGGACTAGAAATAATTATTTAAACAAATCAAATCATAATTCTATAAAATTTCAACAGTTATTCACAATTTATTAAACTATTTACATGAATACACGAAATTGTTAATATCATCTAAAAAATAATTTTCTACGCCAATGTATCACGTTCACTTCGGTTAGTTCCGCGGAAAAACTGTCAAATCCTGTGTATGAAGTGGGAAAACTCTAAAAAGTCTGTCAAACTTCTGTCCCTGCTCTACTATCAGGTCCACATGTTATATACATTTAAAAACTATTTGCTTTTTTTAAACCCTTTTTCTTCAATCTCACAACTGAATATGTTTGCTTTATTGTTTTTTAGTTTTTGCGTGGACTCAAAGACAAAACGACCAGTATAAGATTTATTATAATTTCAAACGGACCTTTCTTGTTGAAATAAATCTGACCTCAACTATAAAATTGAAACAAAAATTTCTTGGGTCAGGTTTATCGAAGCAAATAATGTTTTATTTGAGTCCTTAGTTTGTGGACGATAAACTGGTACCTTTGTGTATTGAATTCAGTAGTTTTTTTTTTTGTGAGTGATGGTATTTATTAGTTTTTTAAATTGAATGGGAAGGTTTATAAAATTGAAAAATATTTCGATGCTTTTAGTTTATAAATGGAATGAAGATTTAATGTGAAATTAAAATGCTTAAAAGCAGTTTGCGAACGCTTTTAGTTGTATCTTTATTCCAATATTTCATGTAGGTATTTGAACACATATATGAAATACTTTGAAGTGTCCACATTGTGAGTAACATAGCATAATGTTGAATATAATTGTTACAAATATAATGGTTTCGGACCCTAATATTAACCTATATTATTGTTATTTTATATCGTTTTTAAAGCTAGTATTTGCTAACCATTTTCTGACAAAATGCACGTATATATATTGTCAGGGAATGTGATAAGTTAGTTGTTCTCTAGATGCGATGCAATTCTGATCTGCTGATCGATTTACACAACTTTTTTTGGAGATTGATTTCAGTATTCCGGAGGCTTTCGAATTCCTAACCTTATAATTTAAATACAGTTATGAAAAATGCAATTTGTTTTAAGTTCGGTGTGTCAAAGAGTATTACAGACTTTATTTTTTAATTTTAATAATAGTTTTTATGTTGTTATGTGTTTAAAAAAAATGTAATGTTTGAATTTTGCAAATGCCTCTAAAACTGAATTTGAAATCAATAAACACGTCACACAAATATACATTTTTGTGGTTTTATTTCATCCTATTTTAATCCTTACGTGTCACACAAACGACTGAAGATTGACATTGGATATTGTTTCTATGCTAATATAACATTGACAAGATACTTCTTATTGGTTTTCTTTATAGTCACGTGGCGATCAATATGTGACTATAGTTGTTATTTTACAAAGGATGGCTGCGCCAAATTATCGTATTGACCATAACAATCTTGGAACCGGATCAATTCTCATTTTGTTACCCGATATGAATTATTTATGATCATTTGGGGAAAAGCAATTCTATTTTCGATGAAAATTAGTGATTTTTACGTACATAAAAACAACACGTCGGCCTGGAAAAAATTCTGTCAGTATGAAATCTATAAATTTTTAATGAAATGCCATCCCAATCAATTTGTAACTTATTTCATTTAATGATTTCCCGAACAGTGAATTTGGTAGGTAGATCCACAGATCAATTTTTTTTATGAAAAATAATCTTTAAAATCTGCACCAGTTTGCTTACAAATAAGGACTTGGAAAATATTGAAAGTCTTAAAAAAGTTGAATATCTGGCCCTGGTGTTTTAGGTCCCCTAAGAAAGGCAACGTATACCCTTTATTGTTTCTCGAAAACACTAGTACATTTTTCACATTCAATTTTTCTTGTAAAAGGTTTAAATATAGAATCCTGGAATAAAAATACCAACAACTGGATTTCTAAGTTTTTAAAATCTTGAGCGAGATGTGCGAAAATATTCCAGGCAAATTTTTAAATAAAGGTTTAGATATATTTATGTTTTGTGTTTTATTTATTACAGGTCACTACTAATTTTAAATGGATGACCTAAAAAAGGACATCACCTAAAATGTTGCGGCCTGTGTTATATGGCCCGAAGCAAAAACGGATAAGTATAGCTGTTTTAGAGCGTCCTGAAGATAGACATGTCTTGTCGTTGAAGGCTACGCTCCCATGTTTAGAACTGCTTTCATTTCGCGAGCGCTATGGGCCGAACGGATGGTCTTATCTTTCAAAAACCGCATTATAACCTGAATAAATACACTTAATAATAATTCTCTAATTCACCTCTTTACGAGTGAATTTCAACCCCTGAATCCGACTGAGCGACTTGTGTAGGGGAAGGGACGGCTATTATTATTTGCCGAGGCGATTTAAAGATGATTGATGGTGCCATTTGACTTACAGGTGAGGAAAACCCTACCCACCTTCATCGAAACGGTAACGCATGGCGATTTTTATAATCTGGATATCATGGTCTTCTGTAGGATTTAAAGTCAGGTTTCTCTAGACCACATATTAATGCGAGCACCTTATACACCTACGCCACTGATCCGAGCAAGTCGATAGCTTTACAATTGAGGGAATGCGAGCGCTTAAAATCGGCAGATGTAAAAAATGTTACCCCTATTTTCTTACACTCATAATTTCTCTTAAAAACTGGTTAAAAAAATTCTTGACAATCAGAAATTTAGTCTAGTGTTCATGTTTCTCAAAAGGTGTATTTTTAATGCGAATACTGACAGACGCGATTAATGGCGCATGGTCTTAGGTCAAGAAATTCGGAAAAATTAAAAGTTTTGATGAAATTTACAAACAACCGATTTTGAGCGCTAGCCATTCCCTTAATTATTGTAAAGCTATCGACTCTGACAAACAGCCATTGTAAAGTGTATTTATTCAGTTATAATGCGGTTTTTGAAAAATTTCAATACGATCATCCGTTCGGCCCATAGCGCTCGCGAAATGAAAATATGCCTCATCTCTTCAGAACGCTCTAGTGTCTAGCTAGAGGGTAAATTATAAATAACAGGCTAGTGGGGAGTTTTTTGTCACACATATCCTCTAGATGAAGACTAGAGAAGAATTTTTCATTCCAGACTAGCCGTTTGCGTTCTGAAAACTTTCAATCAATATTTTTTTTTTATTTCTGAAACATTTTCTGTAATTTTTGATAATTTTTATAAAAAAAATTATATGACATTGTATGTAATGCAAAGTTTAACAGTAAAAAGTAATATTAATGTATAAAACATTTAAAAAAAGTGCATTTACTTTATTATAATTAATAAATACCTCTCAGAAATAACTTTTAAACATATCTAAATTGTGTAGATTTTTTTCATATAAATTTAATTACAGTTGACCGCATTTTTTAAAATTACCCGAGGGAGCGTTGTTCAAGAGAAATTATCAAAATTTATTTTTGGTAAACTTTAGCGGTAGTTCTAGGTAGGTACATTAATGCACAAAATTGCAGTGATTTATTAAATATACAACAACGCACCTGTTATATAGTAAGAATTCCAGGTATTTCATTCCGAGCCGTATTTGAATTTAGATTCCAGCGTGTGTATATATAAACAACCAACCAGTTTTTTTTTATTATTTATCAATACTATTAGTGCAATGACCTTTTTAAAATTTTTGTCCTACATTTTCCATGTACCGAAAAACCCATCTTCAAAAAAACGCGCCTGGTTCTTGTCATATTCTGACAGTGTACAGACAGGCGAACGCAGGAATTTTAAGGTCATGTGACTAGAGGTCGTTGTCCGATTGGCGAATGTCTGAACGGCATTATTCTTTCATTTCTTTTTATTTGCAAGGTTCTGTGAAATCTCGACGGTGATTGGTGGGCAGAGAAAGATATGTTCGAGGTCGAAAGTTCACTTTAATTTCAAACCAAACAAATTTTAACCGTCTCAGACAGTTAGAAAGGTTGTGGCTGTGCTAGTTGGTGGACGTAAAATTTCAAGGTAATAAATCTTGCTTTTATTTGCATAAAACTATAGTGTTTCAATTTATTTACCGGTAGAGTTCATAAATGGTTGCGGGCGATACATATAATTAAAACAACTTCTCCCTTTTTGTAGAGCATTGTGCTCTGAGTCATCCGGCTTTTAGACAATAGTAACATTCCACATGTCGATAATTTCGGAAAAACCGCAACAAAATAACGTTTTTATCGAGTGAAAAAAGTTATAGGAACCTTTCAGAAATATAACATTTCTATTTCAGAATGACTTCCACAAGTTTTACCATTGGTTTAAATGAAAGAAAAAATTCTAGTAGGGTGTTGAAACCACCAGGTGGTGGACATTCAGACATATTCGGGATAAATGATAATTCCGAAATGCTAACACCCAGCAAAAAGATGATGGGTCCGCCGACAACTATTAATAGCTGTTTTGTTCATGAAGAAATTAATGCCAAATCCAAAGATAAAATTGATTATGTGAATAATGGTTCAGATGCTAAAAATGAAAAAAACGGTATTGAAAACCATGGTTCAGATACCGAAAATGGAAGCGATGAAAATGGTCATGCCACCAGCACCCCCGATGAGAACACCTTACCAACCACAGAAGAAATTAAAGAAGTTAAGGAATTGCCAACCCCAGAACCACCCAAAAGAGTCAGGGTACCTCCAGGAGGGTTCTCATCTGCACTCTGGTAAAATTTTCCTTTATGTGACAGGCAGATGTTTTTTAAATGTATTTTTCTAAATGTACTTTTTATATTATTATTTCCTAGTATGTTTTCTCACAGTTGTGTCCATAAAGTGCTTTTCACTCATATTATTAGTTCAGACTAATTTTAACTTTAATGTTATTCTATTTAAAAAAAAAGGCTGATAATTTTTATAATAAAATGTGATGTTACACCCTTGTGTTATTTAAATTTTTGCAGCAGCAATTCTTTTTTTTTTTTTAAATATACCTACAAAATGTAGACGCCATATTTCCTTAATTTTAAAAATTAAAAATAGTATTGCTTTTGTGTAGTAATATACAATATAAATATTAAAATATGGCATTTTAAGATACATTAATACATATATAAATTTGTGATCTATAATGAGAATCTTCATCCTTTGTATAATGTCTCTTAAAGAAGAGAGGCTTTTCTTCGTTTTATAAAATTTTCTCAAATTGTTTTGAATTTAACAAAAAATATGCATTGTATAAGTTTCTATAAAAAATAGTTTGTAGAATATACTGGACAAAATCATAATTTACACTTTAAATAACGATATCAAAATTAATCTAAACATTTCAGGAATGGCCTGTGGCTGATAAGGTAACTATTAGAAAAACAAGATTAATTAATCGAATTTTTCAGAAAATGGCATGTTATCTTGATAAATGTTCAGTTTGAAAAACAGTAATAAAAATATCTAATAATTGTAACCATTTTATGTCAAGGATATTTTTTTACTTACAGCTACTTTATACTTTTTTATGATCCTCATTTTTCTTCCCAATAAATAAGAAAGTTTAATGAATAAGTATTATTTTGGTCTAAACTAGAGATACAGCATAATATTAAATATATTTCAGATATTCAGTTAGTGCCTGGAAGAAATAACTATTGCACTTTCCAATAGAGTTATGTTTTAGCACATTGGAGAACATAAAATATTCCAGTAAAGTACATTTTTTACATTTATACTCCTAATATCTCAACCAAAATACAGTTTTTAAAAATATACATATAAGTATGAAATTACATAATAGTAAATCTAGCTATTTTTGAAGTAACATTTAAAAAAGAATTGTCACTTAAAATCCCAAAGGGGGCGGCATAAAAAAAATAATTCTGTTATTTATTCTTAATCTTTGACTCATGTTGTACATATTAAAAAAAATTGTTTGGAAAGACAATGACAATCTTAAACAAATATTAATTATTGCTGAAATATTCAAACTATTTTATTATGGTCAATCATCACGTTTGCTATATATGTTGCATTTTTGATTCATCATGTTATTTTTCAACCTAATAAAAACAATTACCATGATAATTTAATCCTAATCTTAGCGTTGTCATGACAATAAAATTAATCCTTTTATCTTGGATGCATCATAAATTTTCCATGATAAAATTCATCCTGTATACTATAGCAACTAAGTTAAAAAAATATGAATCATTGGTAAGTAGAAAATGTTTGAGATGATTGATGTGGCTTGTTATCTGTCTGTAGTTAGATAAAGACAAAAATTCATTTTTTATTGTTTTACTGTCAAGGATTATCGGAAATTCTTATCATTTGCATGTGTTTCCTGTTTTGTATGAATCAAGATTGTTGACCCAACTATTTATGACTGTAGAGGGTGACTCAGAATAAAATTTATGTCGTGTAGATTTATAAATCTTGGGCGTTCTTGGAATAATTGATTAAAGAGCATGAATATAAAAAACGAACTTATTTAATGTAGTTAATGTAATTAGTCGCGTGACATTGATTGCTGTTCTTTAAGGAAATGTCCAACATAGCTGTTGCCTAGTCAAGATTTCTTGTCAAGGATCGTTTAAATATATTAATAGGCATTCAAGAAATTCAAATCGATGAAAAATTTGGAAATAAATTTGGTGCTATATGATTTTTCAATCACTGATCGGGTGGAATTTCGTTTAGAAAATATTCGCTTTTTCAAATAAAAAAAAATTTGGTAGCCTTTTCTATAATATGCCGTCTGGTTCCAAAAATGAAAACGAAACTACCGTTTTTGAGGAAAGTCAGAAAAACTGCAGGTCAAGGGATGAAATTTCGCGAAGAGGAAATATGTTATTCAAAACTGGATTATTTATATAAGTGTTTGTGACACTTTACTATTATAAAAATACACGTATACGGGGTGAGCCAAAAAGTTGGTTCAGTGACTGTCGCTATTTTTTACAATATCATAATGTACCCCAAATTAGTACATCACATCAACAAAAATATATATACTTCGGCCATATACAGGGAGAGTAAAAAGTTGAAATATACAAAACTTGTTATGTAGAGAGATAATTAATCAGTCAAATAAAGTACGATTTTGATAAAATATATTAAAACAACAGTGTTTATCAAGTTCGTTTTCATAATTTATTCCACGTTTCTATGATTTGTTTTTTTTTTTGTATGGAATCAATTTTATTTCTTCTTCCTGCTGATTTTTTTAAGTTAACTTATATATGAATTTCAAGCCAACAGTAATTAGGTATATGTCTGTTGGGTCATTGTTTCAAGAAGAATTTTATAACGTACCTTAGAGAGTTTTGCAAATTTTTACTTATACCAAGTTATACAAAAATTAATCCCAACAACACTGTTATGGATTAAATAATTATGTTTATGTATAAAAACAAGAAATTTATACTTATAAACTAAAATTTTTATTGTGCAAACGCAAGAATAATGTTAAAAACAAGTGCTTTTTGGGTCAAACTTTTTTCTCCGCATCCGAAAAATATAAACGAGGTGTCATTCGATTCGGAATAGTGTGTAGATGATTTTTGAAAAAATTCAAGAGCCGCTTGCAAAAATTGCAAAAGTTATACCTAAACAATTACTGAAAAAAATGGGTTTGGTGTTTTAAAAATATCTCAAAAACTATTTGACATTTTCCAAATTTGGAAAAAGATTCAGAATGAGGAGAAAATTTCCCAAAAAAAAATCCTATCGCCCGAAACTGTAGGGCCAATATTTATAATTTTCCCAGAGGATTTAAAATACGGCCGAAAACGGAGAACTTTGATTTGTGTAAGCTTCGCCCACTGTGAACTTTTAATGAATAAATATTTAAACTGATTAAATATGAAAATTACGAATTGAAAAAAATTCAAGCATCTACTGGATAAATTAATGAACAATAATCCGCGGTCAAAAAATTTTTATCGCGATTTTTCTATTAATTATGCATTAGTTAATATTATTATTTTTCACTTTATTAACAATTTACTTAGGTTAAAAATTAAAAAGCTTGATTAATCATTGAAAAAAAAAATATTTTTTTTATATTACTATTGATCCGTTTTTTTATCATCAGAAGCCACTTGAAAATTATTTTTAAATTTTTTTATTTCCTATTTAAATAATTGTTATAAACAAATGCGCTGTTTATAAGATAATTTAAATTTTTTTTTTGGAAACTTAATCTTTGATGTAAATTATGATTTAAAAAAAGCCGTTCCTTAAAATAATTTTTTTATTGCTTAAAAACGAATTTGTTAATTAACATTTTTTTTACCACTTGTAATTATATTAAGGAACCATTTTTTTTTTTTTAATAATAATTTATCTTGCTCTTTGATAACTAAAAATAAAAATGTTTTATTTAAATTTTCATTGTTTATTGAATAAACAATTACATTTTGGACTTAATTTGTTCTTTAAATATTAAAGAATAAATAAGTCGTAAGTTTTTTCATCGTATCTTAATTGGTTATATTAATTTAAAAGACGAAAAACCAGGTGAGAATGGTAGAGTTACAGCTAAAGGTAATGATAGAACTTGATAAAAAATATTAATAAATTATTTTTCCCAAAAAATAATATATGGTTGTTTTTGTTTCATCATGTAGAAAAATAAAAAAAATTAATTGTTTATAACAAATTGTTTATTAAATAAATAATGAAAATTTAAATAAAAACAATTTTTTTTTAGTTATCAAAGAGCAAGATAAATTATTATTAAAAAAAATGGTTACTTAATAATAGTTACAAGTGGTAAAAAAATTGTATTTAAGCAATAAAAAATTTTGTTTAAAAAATAATTTTTTTTAAATCATAATTTGCATCAAAGATTGTTTCAAAAAAAAAAAATATCTTATAAATAAAATTTTTTAAACAATAGGAAATAAAAAATTTTAAAAATCATTTTCATGTGGCTTCTGATGATATAAAAACCGATCAATAGTAATATAAAAAAAAAAATATATTTTTTTCAATGTTTAATAAAGTTTTTTTAATTTTTAACCTAAGTAAATTGTTAATAGCAAAGTGAAAAATAACAATTTTTTCAGACCGATCAAAAATTGCTCCAAAAAAGAAAAAATCTCAGATTTGTTATTTAACAATTATCGCACTTGCAATGTTAATATTCAAGTAGGAAAAAAATTTAATTAACTAATGCATAATTAATAGAAAAATCGCGATAAAAATTTTTTGACCGCGGATTATTGTTCATTAATCTATCCAGTAGAGCTTGAATTTTTTCAATTCATAATTTTCATATTTAATAATAATATTTATTCATTAAAAGTTCACAGTGGGCGAAGCTTACGCAAACCAGAGTTCTCCGTTTTCGGCAGTATTTTAAATCCTCTAAAAAAATTATAAATATTGGTCCTACTGTTTCGGGCGATAGGATTTTTTTTTTTGGAAATTTCCTCTTTTTGAATGTTTTTTTAAATTTGAAAAATGTCAAATAGTTTTTGAGAGATTTTCAAAAACCAAACCCAATTTTTTTTTCAATTAATTGTTTATAATTTTTGCAAGCGGCTCTTGATTTTTTTCAAAAATCATCTACACGCTCTTCCGAATCGAATGACACCTCGTTCATATTTTTCGGAGACGGAGAAAAAAGCTTGACCCAAAAAGCACTAGACTATTAATAGCTCCCCGAATCATAATGTAAACTCCTCTGAATTAATTAAAAACCATTTTAAAAGTATTATAAACTTAAGAAGAAAATATATTCTCACCACTTGTTAATTAAGTGTGGTAATTATTTTTTTTGATTTTTTATTTTGGCTTGTTATAATGTTTTTTTTATTGATTGTTACGTTTTTCTACTAATGAATAATGTTAAAATAGCTTAAATTTATGTATAGAAATATAATAATGTAAACATGATATATTAGTCCATGTACAGCCTTTTTGGCTTCTTATGGATGAATTCACACACATGTTTATTCAAAGATATAAATCTAAGGTTCTTATTATTTATTATTAATTATTATACTCTGAAGATGCGTTTAGTATCGTCCGTCCGATGTCACGTTTTTTTTTTCCGCACAATAAGTCAAAAACAGAAAACGACATCAATTTGAAAATTTCAGGAAAAATCAAGCTCTATAAGGGGACGAATCCTATTGATTTTGACAAAAATCTGAATAAAAATACGGGGTTAAGAGGATTGGAATATTAAAATATACTCAAAAACGAAAAATTATATCAACTTAAAATTTTTAGCAAAAACAAACAAGCTCTATAAGGGAACAAAGCCATTGATTTTGAAAAAATTAGTTAAAAATGGGGTTGAAATTAAAAAAATATCTAAATCAAAAAGTGATATCAACATGACATTTTCTTCTATAAGAAGATGAACCCTATTAATTCTGAAAAAAAATCTGAATTAAAATAATGGTTCAAGGGGGTAGAAATATTAAAAAAAAAAATACGTGTGGCACTCGAGGACTGCCGCGGTAAAGCTATTGCATACCATTTTTATCAACTTATGCAATTATAATTATTTATTTTATTTATGCAGTATTTTTTTTTCTTTGATATTAATTCAAGTTACACTTTTTGAGCGTGGTAACCGATAACAAAACAAATTTTTTTTCTTTTATTGAATAAATGAGAAGTTAATATTGTTTAAAATATTTTTATTATCTTACAATACATGTAGGTTATTCAGGAATTTTTATCATTGAAACTATAGGTTTATGGTAACTGAAATAAGAAACTTGAAAACAAATGAAAATCGGATAAGAACATATGAGTTTTTTTACATTATTTTCACGTGTATAATATACTCCTAGAGTTTGGTGCGCTCCTCCCGACTCACCCTGTATATGTAGGTACTTTTGGGAAAACAGGTCGATTTCTATTCTTAATTTGAGAATTTTTAGTATAAAAATATTACCCCCTCTTGCATCCCTCTTAATTATGAACACCCTCTCGAAAAGTTTAAATAAGAAAGGGGTCGTGTGGGCACCTTCTTTGAAAGTAATTTTAATTCTCTCTTCAGCAAAATAACGTTTTTTTTTTTAATTTGATGCAATCGTAACTTGAGAAAATTAATTTTGAAAATGTAAAATTATAATAATGTCCCAATCATAAAACTTAACGTAGAATAAAGCAAGGAATATTACTTAATATTTAGTCTTAAACGAGGCCGCAACGACTGGAATTTTGTAAAGTGGTTGGCGGGACCATCAGGAAGTGTCGTCTACAAAGATTTAGTTCAGAACCCCTGCAAAGAAGACGTCAGACAACTCAGAGTAGTAAAAATATCAGCTAAAAAACGATCATATCTCCGGCTGAAAATTTACATATCACTTCTTTGAAGGTCACAAATAAAGAATGCAAATCGTCAGATAACTAGGTCACTGCCAGAGGGCTGTCAGACGTCCTCAAACTTGTAATTTTTTGTTAAAATTTACAGTACACTTGACTCATATGCTTAGGCAATCAACATGCTGTCAATTGAAAGCAATCTTTTTTATTTTGGAAAAAATATGAAATTTAAAAAAATACCTACAATTGTTTATTTATTTTAAATACATTTTATTAATCATAATATAATTTTTATCACGGACACTTTTAATTAGGGAGGTCAACAACTGCAACATATATAAAATTCAGCAGATTCGATGGAAAGGCATTTGCCATAAGTAAACAGCGAGGTCTTTTATATTAAGATAATTATTATTGGCTTTATGTTTTTACACCAAAAATAATTGAAATTTGCCAAATACATACGTTATACTTGAAAGTCTGTGGTAGTAACATAATTTGCCTAAAAGTTAGTCTTCATTGTAGGAAAAATAATTTAAATCCGATGAACAATTTGTTAAATTGTATTAAATTACAGTATGGTCATTTTAGAAGTGAATAATTTTTTTAGTATCATATTACAAAAAGTTAATTCTGTAATTATTTTATTTATTTGTAAAGGCATTAAAAGCAATATAAAAAAATGCGTGGGCCCGGCTGAAGTTAAGCCGAGCCAACTTAAATTTTATGTTTAAAAGTGAGTTATTTAAATGTTTCTTAAATCTAAAGCAAAAAAAAATAAAACAATTTAAATACGTCTAGACTCTAGACACGTTGAAAGAAGTAGGTGCGTTGGTAAGCATAAATCAATAGTATCACGCAATTCTTTGTGGGATTTAGAGGCGCTCCTAAAAATTAATAATTAACCAGTTTCATTTCAACCCCCGAAACACCTACTTTGAAATCTGAAAGATTTGCCATTGCGAATATAGAATTAATTAGTAGTACTCGTTTAAAAAATGTTTTGATTATTCCAATTGGTGACAATAGACCTGGTAACGGTAATGTATGTTAGAAAGTTAAGAAGGGAATTAGTTTGAAGGTTATAGATCCAATGTTAACATACACATGAAATTATACCTACCTTTACAATTATGGAATCACATTAAAATGGAAATCTTAAAAATTGATAATAAAATGCGCACAATAAGTGTCGTCATAACGTTTGCCAAGAATTAATATTCATAATAAATAAAGTTAAAACCTAAAATATAAACTACACATAAAAGTATCTCATAAATAGACTAGATTAACCCACAATAATCAGAACAGAACGTTAAAAATAAAAATTTTCTATATGCACTGGGTTAAATTATTCTTACATCGAATTATTGCGAAATAAATGAAATATGCAGTTATCAGTTTTCATTTTTTTTAAACGCAATTTAAGATTCGCAAATTTTCATATATTATATCCTTTATCAGTTTGCGGTAAGAAACAATCAAATAAAACAGTTTTGAGTGTCTAGGTCACTATATACAAATTCCAGGCTGTAATAAATAAAATTCAGACCATTACAAATATAAAATCAATATAATTTGATAATGTTGAATCGTCCTTGATAAATGCAATAATCTGTAAAGTGCAAAATAGATTCATTTCAATAAAAAAATATTGATTTCAAACTGAGTACCTACCTAGGTAAATTGTTTTAACTGTTTCTTGGAATGAAAATCATTACCTCTTACAAGTTATTGTTTTATTAGATTTAACATTTTATTACTTTACAAATAAAATTTATCTAATCAACTGACGTTTTATTTAACAATATGATGATAATTTTAACTTATTTTTCATTTAGGTAGGTACCTATACCTACGACTTCTCTTGACAGGTAAGTAATCTGATTTAAAAAATAGAAAATAATTTTATTCATTTAGTTTGTTCCAAAAATTTCACCCTAAACTACTCGCTCCATCAATGCAATACTAACACAACTAGGAAAGTATAGTGATCATCGCATTGTGAACAACGTAAGAAGCCACAACAGTTGGTATATTTTAAATAGTACGCCAAGGTAGGTTGAATATTATAATTTTAGTCAAACAATAATGGCACATTTTAAGTTATATTACTGTTGTATGTTAAATTGTTATTATGACCACAATCCAATATTATTGGAGCAATGTAAATTGTGCCAGTATTGCATATTTAATTATTGATATTTTTGAAATGTGCCCTTATTGCTTGTTACGTTGCGTTAAAGTCGTTCATTTAAGTTACATTTGTTACTGTTGTTTTTTAAACATTGTTTGATTATATTATTACAATCACTTTTATAATAACTTGAAACGTGCCAAAAACAATATATAAAAGGTCTATGAGTGCCAAAGACTAGGTTGAAAATGAGTGGCATGATCTCATCGTCTTCCACTGCGACCCAGATGGATATATTGTAGCTAGTGATAATAATAATAATATTCTCCCTAATTCACCCCCTTACGAGTGACTTTTAAACCCAAAAGCTGATTTTGTGCGGGGAAAGGGACGGCTGTTAATATTTGCCGTGGCGCTCCGGGCCGACTTAAAGATGATTGATGATGCCATTTGACTTACAGGTGAGGAAAACTCCACCCACCATCATCGAAAACGGTAACGCATGGTGATTTTATTTTTAATAATCTGGATGTCATTAACAGAAATTAAATTTCTGCTAATATGGCATCCATCAAATCCTATAACCATGCAAATAAATAATTATATAATGTTGATTTTTTGACTTTAAGAATATTAGTTTTGTTCATTTGCTTATTGGGGAAATTGCGAGTTTGATAATTTTAAATTGCTACCTCGCAAATTATTATATAAACTTATTCAGTTACCAAACCATTTGAATACCCATTTTTGTGTGATGAAATGTTGCTAAAACTTTAAACTGCAGTTTTATTAAATATATTTCAATTGAAAAAGTCAATTAATGGCTCAACTAGTTAAAAAAAGATGTTCTGTAAAAAAAATGACAAAATTACAATTTGATACCTAATGTAAATACATGTTAATATCAAACTTTCAATTAAGTAAAATAGTTGATATATAGAATATTTGAATCTTTAAAATTAATTTTACAAATCGGTGATTTTCTCAGAACTAATAATTTTAGCATTTTCCACTATATTGCACCCAGTAAGCGACATAAGAACTTAACTCATAACTATACCTTCACATTTTACTAAATTGATCGAAAATTATAGTAGAGTATATAGTGGCATAACTCAAAATATGCCAGTAATGCCTTGCTTCCTGCTCATTTTTGTCACTATTGCCCACACACGATGACTCGAATCTACCACTGCAGTCATTTATCTATGGTCACAGGCATATTAAAAATATGCCGTTGTTAATGCAGCATGTCGGCGAAATACATATGTTATAAAGTGACACATTTGCCATCTAGGGGAGACTATCTTTAACTAATTTTATGCCAGTCTTGTTGGATGAAACTAACCAATTTAAGTATTTTATGAACACTTTAATGTTTTTAGATGTGCCACTATTGTCAATGAGCGATGTGGAGGTGTTCCTTTTGAATTTTGTATACTTTTTGTATATCGTGCCTTAACTCAAAATTACGATTTTTCGAGTTACGTTGGTATTATTTGGATGGTGTGATATATTTATACACAGGGTCCCAGTAAACCACAAATGATCGGCATTTGCTCGGCATGTACGGGAAGCCAAATACTCGGATTGACGTCGGCGTTTCTTCTGAGCCGGGAGGACCGTACGTAATATAAAAGTAAAAACCGCATATGTTCCATATTTGGCGTTCCAGACTGTCATAGAATTTATTGATTCAATTCACTATATTTGAGGCTCACTGTATTTGATATAAATTCAAGTTGTTATTTGTCAGTTAGTTATCAGGTTGATTTATTCAATAGTTTATGCTGATTAATATTAATGCTGTAAAGCCTTAATAAAGGTAAATCGTCCTCTTCGTTTAATTATTTACAACACAGACATGGGAGGCATCCTTACGGGCCGAACGTGGTGAATATTTGGTTAGCAAGGGCATGCAAGGCATCCTTACGGGCCGAATTATATATAGATATATGAACGCGGCTACACCGCTACAATTTAGTAGGCTGCCGACAGTCGGCTGGGCGGACATGCCCTACCTATATGCAGAAGCTGCACAGGTATATCGGGCCGAGCCCGGCATCCAAAAAGCCTCCTTCGGCCCAGTTACGGTGCCGATAAACTGTGTTTATTGGGGTGGTCCTTTATAAGTCATGGTACACATCAGTATAAAAGATTTTTTTGGAAACGCTTTAATAAAAAATCATTTGGCTGTTCATGGTGTTGCCAACTTAAGCTGACTATTATTTCTTAATTATATCCCCCTAGCCTATGTCGCAACCCCTTTCGGCAGGCATTTTGTTTGGAATGTTTTATTTGTTTTACTATGTGGTCCTTTATAAGTCATGGTACACATCAGTATAAAAGATTTTTTTGGAAACGCTTTAATAAAAAATCATTTGGCTGTTCATGGTGTTGCCAACTTAAGCTGACTATTATTTCTTAATTATATCCCCCTAGCCTATGTCGCAACCCCTTTCGGCAGGCATTTTGTTTGGAATGTTTTATTTGTTTTACTACGTTAATATTTCACACGAATTAAACGAGAAATTATGGAGGTTATTTTTGAAATATGCGATATTATATCGAAAACAACTTTTGGGTTTATTAACAAGTAAAACTAAAAAAAATTTTAATTGTAATATTTTGAAGTCAAAAATCGACTATACTTCTATGTTAAGGACCACTCTGTATATTTGGTTTGTTTAAAACGTAGACTAGGTTATAGTAGTCACTTCTATTCACAATTCTGCCCGGATAGTTGGTCATTAGCCACTTCCAATCTTCTAAACCTCAAAGTTGTATCTGTCAAAATTATAAAAATGTCAGGTTTTTATTTGAACATATTTTTATGATCAATTAATGTATTTTATAACACGAAATAGGTAAAGGGGTATATATGGATTAAAAATAATTAATAGTATTTAAAACTTTTTTTTAGAAAATCTTTGGTAAATTTATTAGTGAGAACCATGTCATTTAAATATCCAGAAGCTCTAAGAGACGAGTCTATCAAAGACAATTATTTTGGAAACGAGGTATTATATCGTCAATAAATTTAAAATCAAAATATAAATTAAATTATTTAAGATTATCGATCCATATAGATGGCTAGAGGATCCTGATTCAGAAGAAACGCAAGCCTACGTGAATGCACAGAATAAAATTACCAGGCCGTTTTTGGAAGATTGTCCACACAAAAGTCAAATCAAAGAGAAGATCACTAATTTGTGGAATTACCCCAAATTCTTTGCACCTCATCGACATGGGAAAAAATATTTTCAGTACCGAAATACAGGTAAAACCATTCTTACATCCTAAAGTGAATTTGGGTTATTCTCAATCTCAAGCCTGTATAGGTTAGGAATTTACAATGACCCATTTACGTTTATTTTATAGGTTTACAAAATCAAAGTGTCATCTTTGTTCAGGATTCTCTTAAATCGGAGGCAAAAGTATTCTTAGATCCTAATACTCTTTCTGAAGATGGAACTGTGGCATTATTAGGCACTGCATTTTCGGAGGATGGATCAACTTTTGCCTATGGTATAAGCACCAGTGGATGTGAATGGCTTGATATAAAATTCAGAAATGTAGAAACTGGTAAGATCTAAAAATTTATATTTAAGAAAATTATCTATAAGTGATCTAGGAAGGATTTGATTTAATTTAACAATATTTGTGTCTTACCACCTTACTTTTCTGTAATTTTTTGTGCTTTTATGAAATTATAAATGGTCCAAAACTATTTTTTGCATAAGTTAACTCTTAGCTGGCATAGCATTTTTTTAGCATCAGGTCTTACAATACATATCTCATCTCTCACATGTAGACACCATTATTGCAGTTTTGGTTGTAGCCTGCAGACCACTGACTGTCTTCCAAATTCTTAGTCATTTTATTACTATCATTTCTCCACTCATTTTAATTGTTGGTGTTTGGATAGGCATCGACTCATCAAACTTTTGACATTTAAAAGATAATTAAGCGACGATTGTGAAAATGTTAAAATATGTAGTCTTGTTTGTGTTTTAACAATTTATTAAAAATTATCAAAATTTGCCATTTTTATTGAAAAAAAATCACCAAATTTCTTGACCATGTAAATTTTGTATAAGTCAGAATAAGACAAAACATTTTTTTATGTAAAAATAAATATTAATTTTTATGTTTACATTATGTATCATATTTTTCAAAACAGATGTTGGGGTACAAATGCAATAAAAATTGGTGGTTTTTTACATTTTCTACCGGTTAAAACACCTGCGAATTTATTGAATAAATAGCATGAAATTCACTAAAATACAAGAACAATTTTATATATAGGTTTTTTTCACATTGAATGGCATGTTTAGACAAACCAAATAATACAATTTGTTATTGTTTATAAGATTCAAAGGAAAAAAAGAATGATAGTCATTCCTGAAGGTTAAGGTTTATTCTTAATAAGCTAAGCTAAAAAATATATATTTGCAGGTAAAGATTATGATGAAACCCTTAAAAACGTCAAATATTCACCAATGACCTGGATGCATGATAATAAAGGATTTTTCTATGGGGTAATATATAATTTATTTTTACAAGACTAAAATATTTAGAGATGACAGCAACAGCTTACAAAGGTGTGTCTGCAACACTGAGATTCTGACCACTTGCTGCAATTGGCAAATTGTGGAGTTGTGTAACCATATTATTCAACGATTTTTAGGGTTATTTACACCAAACTGGTAAACTAGAAGGCACTGAAACCAAATCTAATGAAAACCAAAAATTATATTATCATAAGTTAGGTACTAATCAATCTGATGACATTATGGTTGTCGAATTTGATGATCATCAACTAAGGATGTGAGTCTTATAATTAATTAAACTAATATAATATACAAATATTTTCTTTCACAAACATCCTAATTTAAACCTTCTTCTAGGTTTTTTTACTAATTTGTTGCTAATTCACTGGTTGAGAAGTTTCTTCTTTAATATTAAAATATAATATTTTTTTGTTCTTAGGGGAGCTCACGTAAGCCACTGTGGTAACTATTTAATTGTGACTCCAATAAAGGGCTGTAAAGATAACTTATTATATTTTGCTAAATTCACAAAAGATAGATCTATCACAGGAAAATTGCAACTAACTCCTGTTATTACAGAACTGGATGCCGATTATGAGGTACAATTTGAACACATTATTTATTTCAACTTATTTTAACTCATCAGATATGATTTTTTGTAGTATATTACAAATATGGATTCAAAATTCGTATTTCGTACTAATAAGAATGCTCCCAACTACAGGATTGTTGTAATTGATTTTGATAATCCCCAAGCAGAACCTAACTGGGTGAATTTAATACCAGAACACTCTAAAGATGTCCTAGATTGGGCACATGTCATAAACAAAACCATGCTTGTTGTGTGCTACCTGAGAGATGTTAAGGTAATAATTGTTTTTTACTTTAAAATTAATATTTCATTGCATGTGGTACAATATAAATTACCATTATTTGTATTTGTTATGATCTTAAAATTAATACAAAAAGGCTTAGTGTCCTACCTTGCGAAAGTTCGCCTATAATTACATGTTTTTCTAGCAGTATTAATTCTTTTTTGAACAATAGCATCAATAATGGAATATAGAAGTTTTAATACCCATCTTTGTGGTATTCCTCCCAAAATTTACTAATTTTTATTAGTATTCAAGTAATTATTGCAAGCATTTCCATTCTGTTAACTCCATTTATATAGTACCTAATGTTGCTGTAAGGTTTTATTAATTTACTGTTACTGTTTCATCATAAAAATGTCATTTTCAGAATGCTATGAGTATATACAATGCAACAACTGGTGAAAAAATGTATGATTTCAAATTGGAAGTTGGAACCATATCCGCCATTACTGGAGAACGCGATCATGATGAAATGTTTTATAGTTTCTGCTCATTCTTAACACCAAATGTCATTTACAAGGTTAATTTTGATGGTGAAAAAATTAAAGAAACGGTACGATTTTATAATAGATTATTAACAGTCACCAAGAATTAGATATAGCAAGTTGTGAAGTGAACAAATTTGAAATAAACAGCTTTTCTTCAAGTATAATGTTCTTGGAGCTGTCATCTAAAGTTCATTTTTGTTCCACCGTGTTTAGTTTTAAGTTCCTCATTGATTGCAGGTCTTTCATGAAACGAAAGTTGGAGATTTTGATGCTTCAAAATACGAGACTCGGCAAGTTTTTTATAAGAGTAAAGATGGAACTGAAATACCAATGTTTATTGTAAATAAAAAGGTATTCGTCTATTATTTAAACTGATAAAATTATATTGATTTTTTGATTTTCTTAGGGAATGGTTAAAGATGGGTCAAAACCATGCTTACTATATGGCTATGGTGGATTCAATGTTAATTTAACACCTTCATTTGGGCTTAGTCGATTGATTTTTATAAACAACTTTGATGGTATTTTCGCTTTAGCCAACATTAGGGGCGGAGGGTAAGTTTATGTGATAAATATGAGATATGTGACAATAATAATTAATAAATAAATGAGAAAATGTTTCCAATTTCTTAAATGTGACCAATTTAAAAAGGAATATCAAAGGAAAAGAGAAAATCTCCAAGACTGTGTCATGACAAAATCGAGCGACTTTTTCTCTTCTGAAAAGAACTAATCCTTTGGTTAATATCGCAACAGGCATTGCTAATTTTTTACTCGTTCACCTACAGTATATTAATATTGCTATACCTAACTAATCTATTAGTATAATCTCTCTTAATAAATTTAATGAAGAGGTTGCTTCATTTTATTCATATCCTTGCAAGATTCTAAAATAAATTCCTAATGCCTAAGAATGAAGGTAACACATCAAGCAGACTTCATTAGAGACTGAAGTCTAGATTGTCTAATGCTTGCTGATGAGTTCTAATAAGGACGAAATCGGTCCAAGTATGATTTTCTCCTTGGGAATCAAAATCAAAGCTAGAGGGTTGAAAATTATTTTCTATATCTGCTCTTTTCCTCTTGATATAATGTAATGCCTGTTGCGGTATTAGCCAAAGGATTAGTTGTGTTCAGAAGGGAAAAGGTCGCTTAATGTTGCTGTGTCACGGACTATATATTTTCATTTTATATTCATAAATAATAAAATAATCTGATTTAATAACGACCTCCATTTTGTGACTAGATTGTAATTCAAGGGTATCGTCACCAGATGGCTTCTTCAGTTTAGTGAATATTCTCTTAGTTAAAAGATAAATCAATAAATTTCTCGAAATGTTCCGGTTTCAAATAGAGTTGGGCAGTATTTCACAATCTGTTATTTATAAAGCTAAATTAATAATATTGGTAACAGTTATTATTGCAATACGTGGAGTATTATACTCACTGTTGAAATTAAACAAAATTTGTGATTATTAAATATTAGGTGAAGTTTTTGAATAGAAAAAAAAAAAAAAATAAGTGTAACGACATACAAATTAAAGTTAAAAATAAAACGAAAATATATTAATTAAGAATAAAGTCATCGTATTATCTGTTTTTAAAAATGAAATGAATATCAAAGGAAAAATCTCAAAGTCCGTGTCACAGCAAAGTCGAGCGATCGTTCCTCTGCTCAAAACAACTACTCCGTTGGCTAATATCGCAACAGCCATTGCATTATGTCAAAAGGAAATGAGCAAAGATATAAAATCATTTTCAACACTCTAATAGCAGGTGAAAACAAATCTCCCAAGTATTTGTTTTCACCTTTGGGGTAGGATGGTCTTACTAATTCTTAGGGGGATTTTTGAGATTTGTTTCCGAATTTTCAAAATTCTAAGAATTAAATTGTTTCAATAAATTTATTTTTCGGTTTAAACTTATCCAAGAGAAAAAAAAATAAAACATTTTAAAACAGCTATTAGTTTTTGTAACAGTGCTTATTAGTTTTTTTATGATTATTTTTTACTATTTTTGTTCTTTAATACTAGGTTAAGTTCATTTATTCGTAGAAATATTTAGTAAATATTGTTAATATCAATGAATAGAAAATTACTTTATCCATTTTCTGATTTGTTTTTAAAGGTTAAATTGTTTCTCAATTCTTTGAAAGAAACTGGTATCATGGACATGAATTTAATTTTGGAATTATTAATGGAAAATTAGTACTAAACAAATATTTTCTATAACAAATTCATTTAAAAAAATGAAAATTGCTAAAAAAAAATTTAAAAATAAAAATTATGGAGATTTTTATAAAAAAAAAAATGGCAAACAATTTCAATATATTCTTTGTGAAGTCGCTATTTTAAAACCAGTATTAGGGTGCAAAATAAAATAGTTTAAAAGCGATAAATGTATATTTCCAGGGAATACGGAGACTCTTGGCACAACGGAGGTAGATTTGGCAACAAACAAAACTGTTTTGATGACTTTCAATGTGCCGCACAATACTTAGTCAAGGAGCAGTATACTTCGGTCAACAAACTAACTATACAGGGCGGTTCAAACGGTGGCCTTTTGGTTGCCGCTTGTATCAATCAAGCCCCTCAATTGTTCGGCGCCGCCATTTGCCAAGTGGGCGTCTTGGACATGTTACGTTACCACAAATTTACCATTGGTTATGCCTGGAAATCAGATTACGGGTGTTCCGAGGAGGAGGCACAGTTTAAATACCTCTATAAATATTCACCGTTGCATAATATTCGTAAACCTCAAGGTATTATACAGAATTAACCAGTTTTATCCAGTAGACGCAATGTAATTGTTTTTTTTAGACGAATCTCAACAGTATCCTGCTACATTACTATTGACAGCCGATCACGATGACAGAGTTGTGCCATTGCATTCACTGAAGTTTATAGCGGAATTACAGTACAAAGCTGGCAGCTCGCCATACCAAAAAAATCCGCTTCTGATACGGATAGAAACCAAAGCAGGACACGGGGCAGGAAAACCGACATCGAAAATCGTAAGTACATCTTCCATATACATACATACATACATCAGGGAAAAAATTCAATGACATAACTGAATAATCAAATAGTAAAATGCTTATTTTATACAAAATTTACTAAAAATATAATTTCCTTCTATCTTGAGGTGGGAGACGAGGGAACCGTGATTTGAACAATTCCTTGTAATAATTCTGGTTCTGCTTGACCGAGTTTTGTAAACGTGGTCTTTTTATGTATTTATCAGGAATACAAAACGGGACGAACTTAAGTACAGTATTACTTACAGCTAGTTAATGATAATATAAAGTTAAGCATTTGTTCTTAAGGTACACATAATTTTAATAAGCATAACATGTTAATTAATAATGTACAATATTAAAAATAAAAAAAATAGAATCGAAACTATCACAGAAAGTGTTTTAGAAAAGATTATTATGAAAGAAAAGAATATATCGATATCAATTAAATTTGAAATTGTATTGAAAGATTTATAGCAACGAAGAACAGGAGAATTAAGATGGGTAATTAGTGGTACAGGGATCAATATGAAGTAACAATTTACTCCGTGTTGTATGTGGAAATACTATAATGAATAAATTTCAATAGTCATTTAAATTATTATTTTATAAAAAAAAATTGATATCGTATATCTGCCTTCTAGCCTCTAATGATATTGTTCAGTGTTATTATATTATTAAAATCGATGTATGTATGTTACATCAAATGGATTCAAACAATTTGACAATAATACATCATTTTGAGATTGGTTGGTAGTTTTTCACCAAATATTTGTTCCCAGATTTAAAAATAGGGACAATTAACGCTTCAAATTTGTGGGCGTAGCCTTCATTTAATGATCTGTTAAACAAGATAAAAAGCTGTCAAGATAGTTCTTTAGCACATCTTTTTTTAAAGAATTGGGCACACAGGTATGAAAATCTGAACCGGATCCTCTATTTTACAATGAATTGGACAAGTTATAACCAAGCATGAAACAAACAATTTAATTATTTTTAAATAATAAGCAGTGATGTAATATGTAAAAATTGCAGTCATTTATCATTAAGCCAACAATTATGTATTTTAAACTTATGATTGGCATCGTTTATATGATGAAAGGAATTTCTCTTTGAAACATATTGTATAATGGCAATTCTGTCAGCATTCTCCACATATTCCAGACTGTCCGAATATCCGATTTTATTATACAAATTTTCTGTTTCAGATCGATGAAATTGTAGACTACTTCGCGTTCATATCTAAAACATTGAACCTAAAATTCATCGAATGACGATTAAGAACCATTTATTCAAAAAACCTCAAGGAGTACCTCATTGCTATTTGTGTATGTGTGTTGTAATTAAAAATTTTATATTTCTTCAAAATTCAGATGTATCAAAGTTTTGCCGAAGAAGAATCAAATACATTTTCCTTAAATTTGTTTTGTGTTTTTTTTATCCTTCAAGCCCCCGTGGTGTCACCCTAATCCGTTTATATTGTGGCGGCACTGAAGCTAGTGGGTTAAGTCACATGGTGGAATGTCGCTGCTTAACTGTTGCGAGAACACTAATCTCCCGGTAGGCCTTTCCAGCTGTTTTGTATATTACCTTACACAAAAAAAGTAAAATAACGTTTACCACTTCGTTAACATCTTCGGCAAGTAAAAAAATTGTGTGAATAATTATGTATTTCTCTCTCAGTTTGACAATTTATAAAGGACATATACAAAAACCCACTAAGGCGACATAAATTTCAATACCTTTAGGAATTAGTATTTAGTATTATTTTTAATGAGTTTTTTTTTTTTTTAATATTTATGTTTCCTATTTTTTAAGGATTAAACTATGGATAATTTTAAAAAGTTTTAATTTCTTTTGTTTTGGTAAATTATATAATCTACAAGATTTGACCTACGGTTTTTTGTATTGAAGATGTTTTTACTGTCAATTCAGTTTTTAAATGTATGTCATAATCATGAGAAATGTAGTTAATGTATTTTGTTTTTTAAAAGTGTGACTGATTGATTTGAGGAAGTACAACTGCGGTAAGTCAAGAATATTACATTCATTTGCTACGTTTGAAATGTACCTCATCGAGCAGAGCGAGTAGATTTTTTGGGCACGTGACATCGAGCAAACCATATCAATGGAGCAAAAAGGGCGGTATCGAGTAAAAAAAGCAAAACGAGGTACTTTTCAAATGCAGTATTTATAGAACACATTTGATGAAAGTAATATTGGTTTTTTGAAGCAGATTTATAGAATATATTATTTTAAATTTCGAAAAAATTGAGATGTGTTGAATCTATACCACCCAGCTCAAAAATTGTCTGGAGATGTCTAGAACAATTAAATGAGTTAGGCGAGAAAAATAGAGTTACTCTCACTTGGGTCCCGGGACATAACGGGGTACAAGGTAACGAGATTGCAGATAGTCTTTGTAGGACCTTAGCCGTTCTGCGGTATCAGCAGTAACAATACTAGGAGAGATTAAAAAAGAATTGGACAGTAGAAGAACCGATAATTGGAACAATCTCTTGGGGCTGAGACAGGCCAAGATACTTTTGGGTGAATATAACCAGAGCCTGAGCAAGAACAGGCTACGTATTGTAACAGGGATCCTTACCGGGCATAGCCGACTAAAAGGACACCTAAGTAAACTGAGAGTAGTAGAGGATAGTGAGTGCAGCTTCTGTGGGGAGGAGCAGGACGAAACCTTCATTCACATCCTAACTGAATGTGTAGCACTCCAGAATCCAAGGGCACTATATCTAGGAGGATATCAAATAGAAGAGGGAGATTTACCTAACTTGAAGCCACTTCAAATCCTACACTTCCTTGAGAAAATAGGATTGGAAGGGTCGTTATAGGCATTGAGGCATTTCCTTAGTGCTTTGTCGACGGGGCACAATAGATCTTTTAGGTGGCAGTGTATTAACACCCCATTCTCAACATAACATACCACCCCATGAAAGAATGCCATAGGAAAGTCTTGACTCAACTAATGTATGTTAAAGTATGTAAATATTTTTTAAAGCAAATGCAGTATGCCATCGTAGAGGCATATCAATGTGCACACTCAACCCAATACAATCCAGTATTGTATGTTGTATTTACAATAAAGAAATCTTTTTACTATAATATCTGGAGTATCCTGTTATTTTGTATTATCTGCATAAAAAATTTTTTGCACCGCCCTATTGAAAAATAAAATCGCCGTCAATTCCACATAATTTACCAATACTTGGAAATATATTATTTTGCAAAATTTGCGTTGACGTTACGTCAATAAACTCTAGTTCTACTAAACCACTAGCAGACATACAACCTCATATTAAAATTGTTAGATATAAGGCAGAGATATTTCTCTGAATTCTTCGGTGATGCTTGTAATTTTTTACCAAACCTCTTAACTATTTATTTATATAGCTACACGGCTATATGCATATGGTGCTATATAATAGAGGATTTTTACCTAGTTAAGGTTTCATGTGAGTTCGGGAGACAACCTAGCTGACATTTTATCTCCTGGAATTAATGCACAAGAAATTTCTCGTTCCGAATTTTGCTAGCAAGGAACAAAATGGATTTTTACTGATAAAAATGATTGGTCTTTAAAAAAGGAAATTAACTTATCAAATCAACTGGAGTCTAAATCTACAGATATGGAAATCTGAACGCGGATACTTTATTTTACCTTGTGCACGATATGTACGACTTCCTACTCATTTCCACTTACGCTCGTTCCTAATAGATTTAGCATGTATGGTTCGAGTTTCCATTTTCGAATCTGCATAAGTTATTCCTGTCGTATTAAATATGCGTAACATATTAGATTTAAGTATAAAATATTCTTCATTTTTAAAGTTACTTCGTGTCACCACTTATATGTTAAGATTTATACATAATATTCGTAATAAATATAGAAAAAAATAGCATTCTTATAGTGTTGATGAATTGAATTAGGCTTTACTTTTACTTGTAAAAACAGTACAAATGCAATGTTTTTCAAATTATTGCGATTGCATATTAAAAAATAAAGATCTACCTAAGAAAGTATAACATTTTATTGCTAACTCCTTTTTTTATATTTGGGTGTTAAGTATATGAGTAGGCAGTGTCGGATTGGGCCGTCGGTCTTCCGGTAGGCCCTCGTTCAAGGAGTGGGCCCTTGAGAAGAACAAACAAATAATCAAATTTGAAGAAACCTAATACGTGGCAACTTTGGAAAAAGCATCAATATGCAAAAACCGTTATACCCTGGGGTCCCAATCCGGCACGGCGAACCGGTGTAAGATTAGAGAATGTATTTTACCTTCACGTCATTTATTAAAGCATTACATTTTGAGATATAAACATAACATACTTTTTTTGTGGTATTCAAAATTTATTATGTGCGGTTCGAGAACAATTTTGGCCATTAAAATTGTTGTAAAAAAGATAGATCATGTGTTGTGTTTTATGTAAAAACAAAATAAATGAAATATTCAAAGGGGAATACTTACCTGATTGTCGGATAAATACATTTTTTACCTCATTAATTAATGTTGGTATCGATTATGGAGCTCCCTTTTCCGTAAAAGAACCAAAAACTCGTGCAACGATCACGCGACCTAACTATAATGGTCCAAAATACACTAGGATGAATGTCATCTTTAATGTCTTCAGAATTGCACTTACTTTCGGGCGCACGTTGCTTTCACCCAGGCAAGGAGAAAGTGCACTTATAAGTACAGGAACAACACATTTTTAACAAAGTCAAACTCCTCTTTCTGTTATAATTTTTGGTACCAATACTTTTACCGTCAATTTTAATAGATCCCGTTGGGCCATGTTTACCACTGAAGAATTGTCCGTTTTCAGATCAGTAGTAGCCTTTTTCATTAAGGATTTTCCTTCACTATATTGTGCGATAATCCGCGTATTTTTTGTGGTACCTTTCACCATTTTACAAAAGAAAATATTTTACTAAATTGACAGATAAATAACATATTTTGTTTTCCACGCCTACTTAAAAGTATATAATCAGGACATATAAATTGAAATAGATTCCAGTTGGTACAACTCTCGATTTGATTTTTTGGGATTCACCTATGCTTGGTTAAAGACTATCCACATAATTTGAGTTACGAGAAATCAAGGAAATTTCCATGTCCTGGAAATTTTCAGAAACCTATTTTATTTTCCTGTCTCTATACAAATAAGGAAAGTATAGGAATCATGATTTTTTTTGACCTCGAGTTTTAGTTTTTAACGGATTTTTACGTTTTGGGGTCCCCTGAATCCGTTTCTGACTATTTTTCCGATGATGTATGTGTACCTATACTCAATAACTCATGAACGGATACAGAGAAAACACCAAATTTTAAACTTAAGCTTTATTCCGGCCTGCTGTGAACTGATTAGATTTTGGGCAGAGTCGGAACATCTACATGTGTACTTTTGGTGAATTTCATGTCCATACAGTGTTCAGTGTTACTGAAACGTAACCAAATAAGACAAAACGTAATGGGGAAGCTAAAAAAAATCCTCTGGTCCTCTACATGGCTTTATTTGTATTTATCTTCGGCAAGCTAAAAAAAGGTCCTCACCTCTCTAAAATTCATCGATGCTGTATTCGTGTTGTTCCGCGTCCAGCATTGAATCTAAAGAAATATGGTGACTTTATTCCTACATATAGTTGTTTGGACTCGTAGTAAAATTGGTTAAATCTTATTTTTATCTCAAGAGTCTTAAGTTAAGATATGTTCTAACAAGTATTGGCAAATTACCGATCAGTTATAAATCGGTAAGTGATCAAACAAAGTGACCGGTCACCAGAGCTGGACAGGAATACTTCACAATGAGTAGGTTTACAAAGTACTCATAAGTATCTGAGTATGTGTATTTATATGAATAATACTCAAAGCATATGAGTATTTTAAATAGTACTCTTGAAGAAAATCGAGTAACGAGTATTTTAAATAATTCTAGTTAGTGACTGAAATTTAGGAAGAAGGAATTATAGTCAGTAACAAACAAAAATGAGAGTATCACTTATCAATTAGTTACCACTTACCATTAACGCGTACGCCCAACTTTTCCATTTTAATGTTAAAGTAAAGTAATAAAAGTATTAGGTATCATTATTCCGTCATTTGACATTTATTATGTTTTCCGTCCTGTATCGTTGGTTTTGATAAGTTATTCGGAATTGCCTTAGGGTTGTTACGCCGATGGTAGTGGGATTTTGAAAATTAATGGGTTTGTTAGTTAGATTTTGGGAAGATTGTCAGAGGGTTTTAGAAGTGACAGTTGGAAAATTAAAAAAAAAACCATAAAATATAGGGGAGACGATGGATGATTCAGCCAGTTTGTAGAAAAAAAAACCTTAAAATTCATATTTCTTGTTAAATATTGAGTTTGCATCGCTACATAATCTTTAGACATTTCTAAGACTAATATAAAAATGTCAACAATTTGGCCGGATCCTCCACCACCGGAGGCAGATTCGGCCAGCTCTGAGGGAAGATTCGGCCTATGTATAAATTAGTATAAAAGATATTGGCATATTATTTAGTACAAAAATTGTATAACCTTAATTTAGCAAAAAGAAGTTTTTCTCGATAAGTATACATTGAAACAAAGTATCGTGAAGAAAAATATAAGCTTATTAACGAACATCCATTACTTGGAAATCATAACTGATTTTGTGGTTGTGCAAGCCTAGCCTCAATATCATTAACTTGCACGGTTGCTATATATTATTAATAATTGGAAAGTGGAAACTGGTTAAATTTCTCTTTCACCTTCAAAACTTTTCCTCCTTTTTTTCCTAAAATCATATTCACTCATCAGAGCCTACCTCTGAGACTATGGCACTTTGTTTTTTTGTTCCCAATTTTTGTCTCTGTCTAACCATGAGTAGGTGTGTGTTGAGCGACTTTGAACTTTTAGGCCTGAACATCAGATTGACCAATAGGGATTGCGAGTTCTGTTGTGCCATTTTTGGCTCTCTAAAAAACGTTCTGTAGAGCCCGGATTGGCAACGCAGAATCGCGTAAGCGATATTGTTGTTTTGTCTTGACATTGATTTGAACTTTTTGGATTTCTCAAAAAAAAGTAAAACAATTACATTTTAAATTTGATCATCATTTAAATATAACTTCCTTCTCCAATCGCAACTAGGCCTGAGTAACTATATCTCGAGCGAGGCTTCTGCGGTGCCGTTTTTGTTTCTTCCCTAGAACCAACGATGGCACAACGGGATCTATTCAGCCCTATAGTCTAAGATGGAGAAAAATAATTTCTGCTATAAAACATTTTTTACCATCATTTCATCAACTTCTCTGTCAGTTTTGCGTTTATACTTTCGAGGCATCTATAAAATCAAACCGAAGATTGTTAAAATAATACTCATACTAGATATGGGGATGATTTCGGCCGTGGCCGAAATCTCCACCTGTCTTGGGTCCGAAGCATCACCATTAATCCAAATTCACAAATATGGCACGTGGTCCAGTTAGTATTTATATTTAAGGTTAGGTTAATTATGAAACATAGCTCTAAATATGCCACTAAATACGAGCACTAAGTGAAATATTTTTACAAATTGACTATTCGCAAGAGTTTCTTAAATTTGTAAATTGCAAAACTGTTCTTATTTTTTCTAAAAACATTCTAAAATGTATCATCACAATCAATAACAAAATCATTGATGTTTCGCAGGAAATTTGAAATAGTAAAATTAAATCGCTGATGCCCGAATCCTCCCAGAAGCCGAACCCTCCACCCTCTCCCCTACTGAAGTTAAGACAGATATTAAAGTTGAAGATTTTAAATCGAAGAGATGAAATAAAAAAGAATAAAAATAAAGTTTTATTTAAATTAAAGATAAGTGTGAATCAAATATCAGGAAGAACTCAGCAGAAGGAGGAGAAAATAGAGGAAAACAGCAAGCGGATACCAGGCAGAAGAACAGAAGGTATAGAAAGTCAGAAGTTATAGCAGAAAGCAGAAGAACCGGGAGCAAGAAGAAAGAAGCGAAGCGGAAGAATATTTTTTTAATTCAAAATTTATCGATTAGTATTAATTTGTATTTTTGAAATGTAGAGTAGTCGGGCTAAGTGCCAAAATTAAAAACTGCCAAAAAAAAAAACTGCAGAACATACAGAGAGCTTTGAACGTCGTTTATAACCACTAGATCTTTTAGTGGGGCATTGGCACCGGTACATAGATCATATTGATAAAAAAAAAGAAAATTATCATTTTGGCACTTAGATCACTTAGCCCGACTACTCTACAAATGTTTGTAGGAAGCACAACCTTAAAAGCTCTAGGATATTGGAATGGTTCAACCTTTCTGGAGTGGAACCATATTATAATAGATATGCGCGCGTTGGTACTCGTTACTAGTCAGCAGTTGAAATCATAAGTACCGAGTACTCTACATTTTTTCGAGTATGAGTCTTATCAGGATGAAAGTCCTTACGAGACCAATTTCTAAGTACTTTGAAAAATAGTATTTTTGAATAGTTTCTTTATGAGCTCTTCAATAATACCAAATATGTTGGTTACTACAAATATATCAAGATAACTTTATTCTAGTTTCCAGATAACATGCCTAACTTATACCTGTTCACCTTCACATACGTTAAAAAAATAACACAATCTGCTGTTTACGCATGCGCAAATGATAATACGAGAATATAATATGTTGTGACATTTTTCATATCAATTTGAGCTGTGTCCAGGCCGTTGGAGTCTATGCCGCCACCCTATAAGAAGTCGTTGTTTCGCCTTCTTGTTGTATATTCATGCGGCGGTATGTGCTTTTGCAAAAGATTGTGTTACTATGAATACCGTTTTGTATATATTGGTTACTTTCTCGGTCACATTATTCACTTTTAAGAGTGACCGCCAACACTAGTTCAAACCTTTTGGATCTATTTTTGTAGTGATACTGAATGTTGATTAACCGTGTTCGTTTCGATTAGAAAACGACTACAATAAAACGCTAAATTCCATTTATAAAATTTATTGATTACTTGAAAACACGAAATTCTTAAGTAATGCTAAAATCTAAAGGTAAATTTTAAAAATTGATAATCTCCAGCTTAGCCAGAGTATAACACAACAGAACACTGGTAGAAAACTAGAAAACAAGGAAACTAAAAACAAACTCCACAATTATCCATTATCTACCAGTCAGGGATAAAACACAGACTAATTTCATACAGTTTTAAGCAGTACTGACATTAAATCTCGGTTGGTAACGTAACACTTGATAAAAAAATTAAAATCCATCGATTTTTTTCCGTCAGAATTGCTTAAAACCTTTCGCACTGTGCGTTTCTTTTAATTGAACCATTATTGCTCGACACTGGCTACCAACAAATAGGAATTTCGTAAAAAATCTAAAGAATTGCTTTATCTACAACTAAAAATAAATAACGTCTAGAGTGGGTCTACAGCAGTTGTTGTAAAACACGACCAGCATGATTTCTTTCTTCAAACTATGTACCTACTTACATATTTTCATGAAATATTGATAATTCAATTCTTTGATGGATCGATGTGTTTTAAGTAAACGCGATGATGGTCTACAGGGTATCCTAGAAATAAGAACTAACATTTTAACTACGTATATACTTCATTACATGCATTTTTATCGAAACATACATATGTGGTCAAAATGTTTGGACTTATTCAGGGTATATTGCTATTCCTAGATTGTTTAAAGTTACGTTCTTTAATTTAAAGAACAATAATGATTTAATTTTCCACATATAGGAAAAGAAGTAAACCGAAAACATCATATAGGGGATGGGGAGACATCTATAATCTAACATTAATGGTATAAATTAATTATATCTAAGAAATAACAATAGATAAATAGGGAGATTTAGTATTTTTTTTCTAAGATACAAAATAAGCTTTAAAGTGGTATTTCGTTTCCCACTACACAGTAGAAAAATTCCCAGTCTCATTCACAAGGCAGCATTCACAAGCTATTGATATATTTTTAGATGCACTCTGTCTCAAATTAATATTTTACATCTTTAAATTCTTAGAAAAATTGTTAATGCAATAGGGATGAGTACAATTAAAGACTTAGGATGTTTAAGCGTTCAGAAGTGATGTAATAGTGATAATGTAGACAATAATTTAGAATTCAATATATTTAGATTCCGTATGAAATAGTCCAACAGTGGCGCACTTCACACGGATCGAGTACAAACAGCTTATTGGCTTTTTTCCAACATTGCAGCAATTTCGCTAAAGTTCCTTAATCCCTTAGAAATAAGCCAATCAGCTGCATGAGAAGAGGTTACATGATTGTTTCACACCTGCCTTAACTTTATGTACATTTAAATAATATTAGTGTACAAGGTTTCTATATCAAAATGCGTGAAAAAAAAAAATAAGAACCTTATCTAACTCCAATTTGAACGGAAATCAAACAAGCCATATAAAAAAACTTACAACTAATTCTCATTAATCATCTTTGCTTGGAACACTGGCACAAGATCTTTTCTGTTTAGCGCACTTTGATAGCGGGTATGAAAAAACCGTGTTTACTTAACCACAAACCGACGCCTGTGCCCAGTAACAGGGATATTAAATTGGTGAGGAACAGGGTACAGAGACCTTTGCGGGAAAACACGCTACTGTTGCCTACGCGAGCATAACGAATACTAAGAAGATCCCTTTTCGGTGGACGGAAACTCCAATTTTTCGGAGGTAGCTGGTCAGGACGACTGCTCCAATCGTTGAAAAAGTCTGATTCCTAAAAAAGAAAAGAGAATAAATATGTTATTTCAAATATTAATAAAGAACGAAAGATTCAGTTTAGCCTGTCAGGTGTCGTCATTACTAATTTACTGAAAAATATCGCTATACCCTCATCGGAACTTTAACACAATATCCAATATGATCCATATATAAACTGTATTTATTATAAAATGAATAAAAAAAAACATCCCGTGAACATATACAAGATGTTTCATAAGGAATGGTAAATATTTTGACTATATGTTCAGGACCTCAAAATATTAATATTTTACTAAAGTCAAATGCTATCTATTTCTGAGATATGGGGTCATTTTTCGTTTTTTTTTTGGCAATATTTTCGTTATTATTTAACGTATTGACTTGAAATTTGGCATGATTATATTTTTGGATTAGTAAATCATAAGCATGTTATCAATTTTGAGATTAGACACTACTGGATGAAGAAAACTATTATTTTTTTTATTCCGGACATTATTAAATTTTTATGGTACACCCTGTAAAATTGAACAAAAGCCGGATATTAGGCATTCCAACGACCTGTCAAACAACACCTGCCAGTGGGAAGGTCTCGTATATCTAAGGGGGTAGCGACATAGTCTTGCATCTTGAACGCTATTTTTATTCGAAATATCAGTCGTCAATCCTGCCAGTTTTTAAAAAAATGTACAAGCAGTTTTTTTAATTAATATTTTTGTAGTGTTCGATATAAAATATTTAAATGTAATCCATTATTCATGATTTTACGTATTGTAGATAGAATACATCGTATGTCGCAACCGTCAGATCTACCAAACCTGCCCACTGGCAATTCATTTGTTTGGAATGCCTAATTTATGATTTGACAGCCGAACATTTTTATTTTCAAGCCTACTTTGTTGAAATATTGTAAATTATATAGATACTGTGGCTAGAAAATTTTAAATGCAAAGTTTTCGAAATTGGTTAAAATTATTTTATTTATAGTCCCAGAGGCAACGTGAAGGTTTGTGACTTATTTTCTTATGGCTGAATTTATTATTAAATTGTACTATGGTACGTGTCCAACAAATTGGCGAAAGCGCGACGTTCAGACAGGGACGCTTAGGTAGTGGTACGCGCCTGTCAAAAACTTGACTTATGTTATTAACATTTTCGTTATGCGCATTCGACGATAAGCGCCCACCTACAAGAAATATTAAACCCTCCACCAATCTCGATGGGCCATTTTTTTCTCCAACGTTTTAAAGTAGTGCGTGAGAAGTAATGCGTGTGAAATAGCAAGAATGAATTAATTAAATATTGGTTAAAAAAGTTTGAGAGTATTGGAAATTAAATTTACACTTGGGATATCTTTTATTCTTGCTATGTTATAATGATTTCTGTGCAAACGACATACAAGAATATAAGAGTCATTGTTTTTATAAAACACACGAATACAAAAAACACGTTGCAACCCAGTAAATTGCTTCATTGCAACTAAAAGTTAACACTGCCGACTACCGTTTGCCAAATGCCTTCTTTCTCGGGAATGTGCCTATTGCGCCAGCTAACGAATTAATAAACGAAAATATTTCTGAGACACCCCCTTATTTTCTTATGGCTGGTTTTTGGTTTGTTTTTTACAAAATTCACCTTCTCCACCATTCTCTCTGGGTCATTTTTTCACTCCAAACTTTTTAAAGTGGTGAATGAGTGGGCATAAGCGTTGGATTCAAAAAAGTCAAAAATATTTTCAATAGACATTAATTCAGTGAAAAGGTATCATTTTTATCTTTCTTTGGTACCAGCGCACACTTCTTGAAAATAAGTCACGCTTATGCCCACTTACGCACCACTTTAAAAGGTTGGAGAGAAAAAATGGCCTTTGGAAATTGGTGGAGGGTTTAATATTTCTTGTAAGTGGGCACTTATCGCCGAATGAGCATAACAAAAATGTTAAAAAAATAAGTCAAGTTTCTGGCAGGCGCGTACCACTTGTAATGCCTATAGCTACCTTAGCGCCCCTGTCTGAACGTCGCGCTTTAGCGAATTTGTTGGACACGTATCATAGTACAATTTAATAATAAATTCAGCTCTAAGAAAATAAGTCACAAACCTGCACGTTGGCTCTAAAAATATTAAAACAAGTATACGTTTTTTGTTCAATTTACAAGGGTATATCATAAAGACTTGAACATTTTTTAGAAAGGCCAAGAATAAAATAAAAATAGTTCTCTTCAACCAGCAGAGTGTAGCGTCCTATTTGTCTATACTCAAAATTGATAACATGCTTATGATTTACTAGCTCAAAAATATAACTATACCAAATTTCAAGTATTAACGAAAATATTGCAAAAAAACGAAAAGTAAATTTTAACTTAACACCCTGAATCTCAGAAGTAGATAACATTTGACCGTGTTTTTTAGCAAAATATTAATATTTTGAAATCCTGCACCTATAGTTAAAATATTTATTTACTCCTATTAATTTATATATTAATTATTCAAGTGCTTTTGAGCAATTAATAGTATCAATAAACAAATAGCGTGAGTTATAATAGTGAGTTATTATAACTCACGCTGGGCTCCTACGATAATTGGGTATATAAATAGTGTGCGCAGTAAATTCTTGGAAATTTTAATGTCGATATATGTTCCATTGGCGTAACATGTTAGAAAGATTTTTTAACAATTGGAAAGGAATGAATAATAATTAAAAGATTTTAAAATTATTAAATTGTCAACGTCTCTCAGTAGGCGGAACAGTCAATTATTATTTTAACAAGATAATTTTGACGTTTTCAAATCAATTTCTAATAATAGTGCTAAAAAATTATGAATTTAGATAGTAAAGATAAGTTATTATGTATACCTCCAGAAATAAGAGAGATAATTATGCAATCCAGAATTTATTACCAGAAAAATCAAAAAACAAGTATAAAGGTGTATACTAAAATTTTCAAGATTGGTGTAACTCGTTTACAGAAAATGTACTTTTGGCATATTTTAATGAACTTAGCAATAAATATAAAGCATCGTCTCTATGGACTTTCTACTCCTTGTAAGAGGCACACTCAACATAATAATGGAATTAATATAGAGAATTATTCAAAATTACGTGCGTTTCTTAAACGTCAATCAGAGAAAAATATAGCTAAAAAGGCAAAACATTTATGCCAGAACAACTTAATAATTTCATAAATGAAGCTCCTCATGAGAAATATCTGGCGACAAAGGTAATAGCTTTTACAAAGATTCAAACTTTTTTTATCATCTAGTCAATGGGGCATGTTCAAAAATTTTGAAATTTTTTTTATGAATAATAGAGTTGAAAATAAAATTTAATTTTTTTTATTTTTTTTTTATCTATTCATTTGCCGGAGTTATGAATTTTTTTAAAATTTATGACGTCACCGGGAATAGACCAATAGGAGCTAGCGCACAACGTTGCCGGCTAGAAGGTTTACGAGAAGTGATGTACGTTCGTTTGTGTACTCCTTCTTACTTTTAGACTTCTAAAACATCGTTAAACAAATATCTTTTAAATATATAATATCAAATGTTTTTTTAAAGTATTATTTCTGTTTAAACTTTTACCATATTTAAAGTTTCATTGTTTTAAAAGTCACTTAATAATTCAGAAAATGGCAAAATGGCAGCACTGTGTATGGCATCTGTCATCATAGTGTCTCCATCAAGAATTTATTTGGAATTTGATTGTTTAATTTTGTACTTTTTATAAATATTATGACTACGAAAAAGTGTTTTGTTCCAGAATGTGATAATGATTCACATTCATCTTCAAAAATATTTATTAGTGTTCCTAGAAATTTGGAAAGAAGAAAATCAACCTTCTACTAGCGATGTTTCTCGTGAACTTTTTAATAAAAATACACCGGATTATCAAGATGTAGTAGCAATTTCTGCTAATTGTCCCCTTCAGGAAATTGAAAATAAGGCTACTATAAATTCTTAGGTGTATAACCTAAAAACCCTTCTGGAAGAAAATGCAGAATCTCCTGAAAGTTTTGAAGATACCGAATTTATTCATCATTTTGTGGAAGAACTAGTGATAAAGAAATAATGGAAAAATGTGGGTATTTAAACAAACTGGTTCCTGGATCCCATATAATGGCAGATAGGGGTTTCAGAATAATCAGCTACTTGAAAACATGGGATACACTTTAGTAAAGCCACACCTAGTGTGTCACAGAATGAAAAAACTTCTCCAGAAGATGTACAATTAAGTAAAAGAATAGCATCTCTAAGAATACATGCGTGGAAAGAGTAAGAAGGGTTAGTTAATTTAACATGTTAAAACCACATTCGTGTGTGAATTTTAAGCAAGTACATTTACTTAGTAATATCTGCATAATTGCTTGTTAACTTACAAGAACCTATTTTGTAAGAGTAAATATTAATTTAATAAACTTTTTTGTTTGTTTTTTAATTTAATTTACCTAATTATCACATTTCAGGGATTATAATGAGTTTTTAAACAGCCAATGTAATTTTTGATAAAAATTTAACTTTTCGAGCAAATCGAAGAGGAATGAGTACCTGTATATTCATAGATTTTTTTGGGACTAAAACTACCAAAACAAAGGCACCTATTTACAGCAGTTTAAAATGAAACATTTTAACAAAAACGCCTATGTCACAGTGATAAATATTAAAAACCAAGTTCAGTTGAATGTGGTAGCAAAGTCTATATATTCCAATAAATCGGGTAACTACATGTGGTATCACTGGTGATAAATTTAAAAATATCACAATGCTTGCCACCTTTTTCAAAAAACCAGAAAGTGTGCCTTCTTATGAAAATGACAACAGTGATAAATGTGAAAAAAAAATTTCATGTTGCTATTCGTTATTACGATAGTAAAACATGTTTGCAGTTCCGTTTATTTTTTATGAAAATCTAAGTAAAAACAACCAATGTCAAAGGGTTTTAATTTTTTTTCTGTCAAACCAAATATATCACAAAATTAAAAATTGATCATAGGTCAAGCTAAAGTAATACCTTTATTAATAGTG